CTCTTAATTAAATTGTATGGCTGTATTATATTTCAATAGGGCGAAGGGACAGTTAAGTAATGATTACTATGTGTTGTGTGGTTATTGTTTTGTAGTAAATTAGTGACGGGCGGCCGCCTGGGAATAGTTTCCAGTCTACAGAATTCCGTAGAATAGCGCATCTAAGCTGATATATGTATATTCTGCCACAATGTTTAAATACTTAGCAATAGTATCAGAGCGGATACTCAAGACAGAATTTAAAGTAGGTATACTCGTATGTTTAGTTAAATAACTGCATAAAGCTATATTAATAATATAGTGGAATTTTATCTCTACTCTCTATTTGAGTAGATAATTATTAGGAATAGATTTATTTAGACCCTTAAACCTTCTTTCATACATCACATTATATCCATACTAATATTATAAATGCGAAAGTAGCTCTGTCTGTCTGTATGTCCGTAACCTATTCACGCTCAATCCACTGAACCGATTTAGATGAAATTTAGTATAGAGATAGGATGAGTCTTAAGACCCTCGGAAGGACATAGGATAGTTTTTATTCTGGATATCATTCCCTTAAGGGGATGAAAAGAGGGATGAAAGTATATACATATAGGGAATCAATCATTTCTCAAGTAAGGGATATAAAACTCATCATACCTTATCATCATTATTTCTCCTGGACCCGAACTGTTGCTTATAGCTCAATGTTGTCAGTGTCAGCGTGCAATAGTTAAGATATGGTACCTACTTAAGGCTCATCATAAATTTTAATTTGAAGATAGAAAACGTACATATTTGTGTTGTTGTGTTGTTATCTAATTGTTTGAAATTAATACATTTTATTATCATAATTAGTACTTAGTAATTACTCATATAGTAGCTATAAAATTTCTCACGGGTATATAGATAAATAATGCACGTGATAATTTATAAATAAAATAAGTCTGAGTCTGAGATTTTAAAATAACAGTATTAGTAGTACGCCAATTTAAATCAATTTTCCGCTTACTTGTAATTGTATGTTAGCTTATACCAGTAATCCTAAGAACGGTTATCTCCTAAAGCCGATTTTAACAGTACTTTTGGTGGTGAGCAAAGATAGGGGCAATGGTAGCACAAGTCAGTAAAGCACGATGGAATCCTGGATCTCGCACCTCAGATATTTTTAATACCAATAACTTTTAACCACCTCTTTACCACTCACTTCCAGTGAGGAAACTTTTCTGAGAAAACATAGCATAAAGAAAGTCCTCCTACCTGCACTTTGACTAAGTGTAGACATTGGACATGAAGGAAGACTCGTGCTCATGAAATGATGGTAACATAAAGGCCACTTAACATCGTAATGTGCAATCGAACCCTCATACAAAAGCTGGCTGGTATACGCTGTATATATATTATAAAATAAGTTCTTAAGTAGTAAATAAGTTCTAAACTCTACACATTAAAGTCTCTACACATTTTTTTTCCAAAAAAATTTATTGAGAGTACGTAAGATCATGTAAAAAAAGAAATAGGATATATATAGAAATAGGGTAGATAGGAGGATAAGTAAAATGAGTGAAAAAGTGTACCCATCACATAAAACCACAGTTTAATTAAATACTAAATTAAAATTCAGCAAAATTCAAAGCCTTAATAATGGTAAAATTTAGTGTTTATTTCATTAATATTAACGCAGCGGATCAATAAGGTATAATTGGTGAGTTACGTGATGATAATAAGGTTTAATTGGTTGGGCGGTTGAGGTGATAGTAATTATTGTTATAATAAAATCATAGAGGTATCAAATCTGTTCAATGATTTTGTTTAGAAATTCCAGTCCCATTGTAAATTAATACATTATTAATTATTAATATAAAACATTATTAATTATTATCGATACAGTTATCAAACATGCCAAGTCAGTATCACTAAGTTGTGACTTGTGATGATTGTTATTCCTTCTTTAGGATAATTATTATTTAGTAAGATTAAAAGTTCCATTGGAGGAGAAGTAAAGAAAAAAAAAGAAGGAAGCTTAAGAAAAAAAATAGCTATTTTGAAGAAACTACTGCATAATAGATTGATTGACAACCGCAGGCATATCCAACGAATGGATAAAAGTTTTACCTTCATTTTTTCTTGGTCCCATCCAGATTATTACCTCTCCTATCGATAATATTGATTTTCATTCCAATTGTTTATATTGATATTCAAACCTGTCCCAACTCATCCTTTTATAACTCAAACAAAACCACCCTCTCTTAAAACTTGCGACTAAACTCACCCTTTGCAGTAAGAAAAGTTAGACAGCTAACAAACGACAATACTTATTATTTATTTATATTATAGTTATTTTCATAGTATCTTATCTTACGGCTACTGTGTCACAGTGCAGTGATACATTTTATGATTTCACAGCTCGTGATTCCCTGTGAGACGTTTAAGAATTAACAAAAATATTTTATAGGTAGGTACTTACAGATTTTTACAGAAAGTAGATAAATAAAATTGCAGGAAAAAATAATTTAATACTGTAATCTTATCTTTAGTCATTGTTATAACCATAAATACGAAAAAATAAGTTAAAGAAAAACACTACCTTACATTTCAATCAAACAAAAAATGAAATAAGTAGTAAATGACCGAAGCTTTATTTTCGTTTTCGGCCATAAACTTCGATGAATTGTCAATTAATTGATTATATTATAATAATAATCAATAAATACAACAAGAAATATACGAAATTTTGATTCCTCTAATGGAATTATCGTTATTTTTTTTTTAATTCTATATTTGCTTTTTCTCTCCCTGGGTTAAAAAAAGACAAACAATATTTCTGTGTACAACAGCAATATTAATATTTTGTATGTCTAAATCATTTTCGTTTTCGGCCGAAAATAAGCCTAAAGCCGAAGCGTCTTTTTCATTTTTGGTTGAAAATCTATTTTCGGCCGTACACTCGAAATAAGCCGCTTTTAAAAATAAAATATACATATATGTACATCTATACTAATATTATAAAGAGGTAAAGTTTGTGAGTTTGTGAGTTTGTGACGTTGTAGGGGGTAATCTCTGGACCTACTGAACCGATTTTCAAAATTCTTTTACCAATAGAAAGCCACGTTCTTTCTGAGTGTCATAGGCTATATATTAACCCGAAAAATGAAAAGGCTTTTTCGTGGTAGTCGGATTTGCAAAGTAAGTCGGAGAAAAAACGGTCGAACGAAAACGTTTCTTACGAACGCTGCCTTAACGATGAGAGATATATGATTATGTTCTAGAGAAAAGTTGTAGAGCTTAATAATGCCTACAAAAAAGTCAGCGACAGCATATGTCTAACTTTTATATTTAAGTCACAAAAAGTAGTTTTTTATATTAAAAAAATAATTTAAATCGGTAGTACATGTTTATTGGTCATATTATCAACAATTATGAATTTTTATCAAAATAAGTAAATTTATCGTCTAAAATGTTTAAAATAAAAGACTTTTCCCTTTTACTGCATATAATTTGGACAAATGGTTAAAGAGATAATACAACATATTCGTATGTATGGACGAACCCGAGCGAGCTGTTTATCTGTTTTTCTCTTTGTACGGGCTAATCTCCGGATCTATTGTACCTATTTAAATGAAATTTTGCATGGTGGTACCTTATATCCCCGGGCAACATCTTAGATACTTTTCATCCCGGAAAATTAAAGAGTTCCCGTGGGATAGTTAAAAAACTATAACAACTTATACAGCTTACTACACAAAAACTACTAATTGGATTTTAATGAAACTTTACAATAATATAGTTCATACATGACAAAAACAAATCAGCTACTTTTCATTCCGGAAAATTAAAGAGTTCCCGTGGGATAGTTAAAAAATTATAGTAACTTATACAGCTCAGTACACAACAACTTATGCACCTAATTCAGTAAAATTTGGCATGCTGATACCTTATATTGCAGGTCAAACAACAGGTTACTTATTTTATTTTATTTATTTTATTTTTATCTCGGAAAAATGAACGGTTCCCGTGGGATAGATCTGTTTGTGCTTTTCTAGAGGTGAACCCGAGCGAAGCGAGGGTGAGCCGCTAGTATTATATAAAATGAATGTACACTACAATGAAGGTTATCATATCTCTATCTATATATATAAAACTCGAGAACGGCTGGGCCGATTATGATGATCTTCGATTTGTTAGATTTTACTCCGCCCCAAATAGCAGAGTAACTTTTAAAACATCGGAAAAAAAATCAATCAATCAATCAATCAAATGAAAAAAAATTTTTCCATTACATACTAAGCGTCAAAATGTACTTAGGGACGAACCTGAGCGAAGCGAGGGTTAGTCACTTGTATTTAATAAAATCAATTATAAGCTTTTATCTAAAACTCGATACTTTCGAAAAAAAATGTTGTCTCAACGATTCATTGTGGGTACCGTTACGGCAAAGGTTATTGCACTCTGTTATACATAATGTTGTGTACTTATAACTGTTTAAAGTGGACTTTGTGCGCGTGTTGATCAGATGTACGCTCTCAACTATTTATTTATATATAAGCCCATCAATAACAAAATATTATCAATAAAAGTTCTTCTACTGTTATTGCGTAAAGATAAGCATATTATTATTCCATGATTTATTCTGAAGTCCTGTATGGTCCTTTATGGTGGTTGGTGAACCTAAAATACAAACATATCTATACAAATATTTAATTTAAAAGTATTAATGAATTCATAAAGTAAACAAACGCTATCTACGAGTACTATCTATCCAAAACAAAACAACAAACAATAGGCGGTCGCTTACAGCCGGTACATTATGCATGAAGTACATTTATTATAGAAATCGGGGTCACGATCAATGACGTAGCGCTCAGTCACTGAATATTTTTGAGTGTTACGACACAACCACGCCGGCAGCGGACCGCTTACCTCATACCATCTACCTATTGGCTATTATTAGTGTACGTAAACTCCCATCAATGCCCTAGTAACCACGGAGCCGCGCCGCAAAACGAACGTACGAAATGTCTAAATATTCCTACATCGTTTATTATTTCCTCGCGCAAATAATTGCGGCTCAAACCTACAAAATCCTCGGTATATTTCCCTCGTTGAACCGTAACAATTATGTGACCTACCGGGGATTGTTCCGAGAGCTGGCAAATCGAAACCACGATGTGACACTCATTAACCACTTCCAATTGCCAGACGCGCCTTCTAACTATCGGGATATATTACTCAGTGATAAACAAGTATACAAAGGACTATCGTTCGAATCAGTTATAGTGAATGAAGTTTCGCGAGTGCCGTTCGAGACGTTAGTGTCTACTAAAGCGGGTAACGATGACTGTAAGACTTTAATGAATAACAATCAGGTTCTGCATCTGATAAGAACTCGACCTCGCTTTGACGTTATCATTGTAGAATCTTATAATAGTGATTGTGCGCTTGCGTTGGCGGCAAATTTGAGTGCGCCATACATTGCCTTCAATCCTCAGCCGGCGCATCCCTGGCACTATAGTAGATTAGGAATAAACTTCAATTCCGCGTACGTTCCGCAATCTCTACTTCCGTTTGGAAAGCAGCCGTGGTTCTTCGACCGAGTAAAAAGTTTCATATTATATTATGTTAGTAATTGGGTATACTACGTCGGATCGCAAGTAACGGATCATGTGTTTTTGTATAAATATTTGGGAGACGATCTCCCTACTCTAGAGAGCATCGCGTCTAACGCCAGCCTAGTGTTTGTAAACACACACAAATCAGTTTTCGGGAGCGTTGTGCGAGCTGATAATGTTGTGGACATTGGCGGAATACACATTAGACCCCCGAAGGTTATCCCCACGGTAAGTTAAACATATGTTCACGAAAAGTATCGCCTATAATAATAATATATTTGTGCCATAACTGTCACCTTTTATGGTAATATTCATAAATGAATACACAAAAAGGGTAGCAATTTATTTACATATAATTTTCTATTTTCTACACATTAATCTTTATTTAATCTTTTTTATCGTTATTTATTTAAGTGATTAAATATGAGTTTTGTGATATTTACTCAGAAGAAAAGATTCAAAGATAGCTTGCACTATTATTTAATATTTAAAGAAACCGAAGCGTGCATAAACTGTACAATGTTTAATTTCGGTAACTAACTTTATTCTTAAATAGGTACCCATTTAGTTTTATTTTGATATTATCACTGTACAAAGTAATGTCGATAATGCCGATACACAATAGAATTAATTACTTGTTACTGAAACAACAATATTTTAATACAAAGCTACAAGAAATCAAAAACAATGAAAAACACTTTCTAAGAAACAATATAAATATTATATTAGAAATTCCCAGATATAAAAATTATAATGGAGAACGGGTACTGGACTATGTAATCCCTTCTTTAATTAATAACGTATTTAAAACTTTAAAACATAAAATTAACGAAAAAATATTAAATATGTATTAAAAAACTCTTATCTAGAGCAGCCTGTATACATAGACAGTTATATTACAAACCGGTTATACCGTATACGCTCTAGTGCAGTGATGCCAGTGCGTTTTAAAACAATAAAATCGACGTAAGTTGGTGATATTCTTATCTATTTTTAATAGATGTATATGTATGTATAATTAATGAATCCGCAGGGCACATGAAAATCATACATGATTTTTTGCGCTGTTTGTGTTTAGATTAGTGTTCTAAAAATGTTATGAAAATTTAAATAAAAATAAAAACATTTTCGATTCTAAGGTGTTCTTTTATTGTAAGAATACCTTCTGCACTGAAAATAATACGAATTACGAGTATAAATAATATACATACTTAAAATACAATTTGAATAAATAGGTTGAACGGGTTTTAACCAAATAATTACTTGTGAATAATCAACCAGACTTATCATGTGAACAAGTAAAGTGTTCTTATAATTATTTCATTATTTTACTTTAATCTTTCGCCTTTAGCTTTATTTTCCAATTCACAGAATTAATTTTATTACGTACTACCTAAGTATTTCTAACATTTTGAAATAAATTTAAATAGAACAAAGTAATAATAAATAGAAGACAAAAATAAGTAGATACTAAGCTATAATTATTATAATACTAGCGACTCACCCTCGCTTTGCTCGAGTTCGTCCTTAGGTTGATTCCCTATACAAAGTTTTATCCCCATTTTCACCCTTTTAAGGATGATTTCGGGATAAAAAGTATCCTATGTCATTCCCAGGGTCTCAAACTATCTTCTTACCAACAACAAACTCACAATTCACAAACTTTACCTCTTTATAATATTAGTATAAGCTAAACAGTACTTAGTGGTAAATTTCTTCTGTTTTACAATTGATTTTTGTTTGATGTATTTATATCTTATATTTATAAGACCATCACAATGTATTTCAGGAAATAGAGAGATTCATAAATGAAGCGGAACATGGCGTAATTTACGTTAACTTGGGATCTACCGTCAAAGACTCTACAATGCCGATAGAAAAACTAAACGAACTCGTATCAACATTCAGAAAATTGCCTCTTAGAGTCCTGTTAAAATGGGACGGCCAGAACCTGGACAACCTGCCAAGAAACGTTATGACTATGAAATGGCTACCACAGTACGATATCTTAAGTGAGTATTGAATTTTAAGATATTTTCGCAGAGATTTTTTGATTAAAAACAGGTATATTTACTTATGTATAGAATATGTATAACGAAAATAACTTAATGGCCCATTCTATTAGTCATTTTATTAAAATATTAATTAGTGAAACTAAATTGAGACTGACTAAGAGTAAATTATAATGTTCACGATAACCAAGTACAATATTATCGCTTTCACTTCTATTTATGCTCGTAAACATACTCGTAATATATTTACTCAGCGAGCTCATACTAAATGATATTCTACAACCCTTTACGCTAACAAGATATATGGGTATGATAATACTTCCATATGGCTTTTAGTTCGTAGAATGTCTAAGCCCGCAGAATTCATGTGAACGAAAAATATGTCAGTATGACAAACAGTCCAAACACGAACATCTACAAAATCTAAGTTAGACTGACATTTACGTTATGTGGAAGGAAATATACATAAAATGGATTTTATTTTAAACTATTTTCGTTATTTTGCAGAGCATCACAATGTGAAGGCGTTCATCTCTCACGCGGGAATACTTAGTACGATAGAAGCCTTAGATACCGGAGTCCCAGTAATAGCAATACCGCTATTCGGTCATGAATACGGTAACGCAGCAAGTCTAGTAGACGCTGGTATAGCCACGATAGTGAATTATGAAAATTTAAACAAGGAACTGCTTTTAGACGCCATCAACGACGTGTTAGACCCAAGGTTTGTATTATTAAAATAACTTTATTAAATAAAACTATCTTTTCGGATTATTTCGCGGATTTATTTTGATTTTTGGTTCCCGACGTTTCGAATGCTTTACAGCATCCATGGTCACGGGAGAGACTGAGGTGTTACATGTCTTGAATGTATAGTTGTTACAGACAGCCTACCCACAATGAACAAAATGAAAATTGCACCAATTACATTACAATATTTTTTAACTTTAAACATTTTTATGTATATATAAATATATATTATATTATATTTATATATAATAAATCCGCGAAATAACCCGAAAAGATAGTTTTATTTAATAATGTCAAACATTCGCGTAAATCTAAGAAAAAACTTTAGACAATAATTCCATTAAGTATTTCGATGATAAATATTAACACCTCCAGGTAAATATCTAAGAAATTAATTAAACTTCTAAGAAATCTATTGTTAACTGTAACGCCGGCGTGTCGTTGAGGGACTAAAAAATAATTAATTTCTGTAAGCTTTCGGAGTTTGTTTGAAACTTAATATATTGTTATTTTTGTACAAAATAAATTTAAACTATGATTAACAAAATTTACGAAATGAAGATCGAACAGAAAATTGTCTGTCGTTTTTTTAGATCAAGGTCTCTTTTAATAGACATTCTAAAGCGATGAGATGATAATTTATAGAACACATTTAGATCATAAAAAGTGTATAGTATCTGATATAATACATATTTATTTTCATTTTTCAATATAGAAATTGAATACTGCAGTATACTGCAATATTTTGTTACGTAAGCGCAAGGAAGTTAGAAACCTTGGTTTTATAAACACTGCTTGTCATCACGAAACGCGCTAGCACGAGGATGACATAATCGCTGTAAATATATCGGCATTATCAAAAATGATTCGAATATAAAACGACTTTTCTTTCAAATTGGTACACCGTATCTTTGTTAATTTAACATCAGAATATTATAAGATATAAATAATTACCAAAATATATGAATGTGTTGTAAGTGTGAATATACTTAAGTGCTTAGGAATAAGAGCAATCACGATTGTTCTTCTACATTGTTATCTATGTATGTATGTACTATGTAAATAATGTAAGCATGAGTAAATACGAGTTGGTACGTACGTGTGTACAGTGTATGTACTTAAATTATCGAATTTTAAAAATAATTTAAAGATTCAGGTAATTCTACACTTTGTAGTGAAGCATGAATGAATTCCAAATTCCTATCCATGCTGTTATTATTAATGTTAAAGTTTGTTGTAACCGTTTCACGATTAAACCGCTAAGCAAATGTCGATGAAGTTTTGCAAAAACATATTTTATCATAATATAAATAAGCTATCTTTTATGCTCCGCCTCCTACCATGAGAACCGAAGCCGCAGGCAAAAAGTAGTATTAAAAAGTTTCATTGGAATTTTAAGCTTAGTTGTTATAGAGATCCGGTAAAGACATGTCCAATATTAGTTGTTGTGTAGAGGTTTTCTTTAATATTTTCTTTTTTATGAATTTTTTATGCTTTTTAATTTTCTATTTAGTAAGAAAATTATAAGTAAGGTACACTCTCTCTTGCTCTTACGCTGTAACATCTGTCACTAAATTTTTAATCTTTTCTATCGAGTTAGTGAAAATTAGATGTGACAGACGATCAGAAAAACAGAAATTTGAGTGATTATAAAAGGATTCCGTATTTGGTTTTTGATTTACGAAACCGTAATAAACCAGTATAGGTTTTATAATTACATAATATATTTTACTTCTATTTGGATTGATTCTTGAGATGGAACAGATGTTAAAAGATGCTTATGTTGTTTAAGTCGGTTTCCATGGTTCACAATCACATTGATTGATTCATTTATATAATGGATTGAAATTAATTTTGTTATTAGCTTTAAACACAATTATGATATTTTTTAGTAAATTGAGTACATTTATTTAGGAGAGTTGAAGATACATTAAACAAAATATTAATGGAATTCAGACAGACAAGTGTACGGATTTTTGTATTTGAAGTTTAAGCATTTTTCGTCGCTTACGTGAATGTTATAACGTGAACATTTTGCTTCTTTTTAATGTTATAGCTTCGCTCGTGTTTGCCTCTAGAAAAACAAAAACTAGATTTGTTTTTGTTTTGTCCCACGGGACCTGAATATTTTTGTAGGGTAAAAAATAGCCTATGTTTTATTTTGATAATAGCTATATTATAAAAGTAAAGTTTCATTAAAATTCAGTAGTTTTTTGCGTGAAAGAGTAACAAACATACATACATCCTCACAAACTTTCGCATTTATAATATAAGTAGGATATGCTTATATCGAAATTATATCCTGATTGTACTGTTATACTGGCCTTACTGCATAACCATAAGAAGGCCACGTAAAGCCTAAATTATAAAGAAAATTTTGTAAACGCACACAATTTTTGTATTTTTTTAATTATTAACTTTTTGTTTCAGGTGGCAAGAGCGTGCAAAATTAGTGTCTAAAATTTGGCACGACCGTCCCATGACACCACTTGAGAGCGCTATCTATTGGATAGAGTATGTAGCAAGATATAACGGGGCTCCCAATTTGGTAGCGCCATCTACCACTGTCCCGTGTTACCAACAACTACAGCTAGATGTCCTAGCTTTTGTAGGATTAGTTTTTTATATTTTAATGTACGTTTTGTACAAAATAATAAGCGTATGCTGTTGTTGCTGCTGTCATAATGAGCCCCAAGCTGATGTTGTAGAAGAAGAAAGAAAATCAAAAAGAGTCAAATTCGAATAAAAAAGTAGGGGGTCACCGATTATTTAAAATTAATAATAATTAATTAATAATGTGTTATTAAAGAATATTGTCTAAAACGATAAAATAAGAAATGAGCACAGATACTTAAGTACACGTAAAGCATTAGATTGGTGATGTGAATTAAACGTATTAATTCGAAATTCATTGTTTTAATCAAATAAACCTGCCCACTCTATGTTACGTACATGATTTCTTATTTATTTATAATATAATAGTACCGAATACCTACTGTTTTAAAATATAAGTACCTATTACCTATTAGTACCTATATCTATACTTACGTATAATAAAATTGTAACAAAACCGAATCTGTACATTAGTTATTTTTTGGAAAATCTTATTGAAATAAACATTATTATCGATACAGAGGCCGAATCTATAGTTTTAGAATTTTTATCTGTCTGTCTGTTTACGCATCACAGAGAAACCACTGCAGGGATTCTGATGAAACTTGGTATGGTGATAGCTGGTTATCCGGGTCAACATATATAATACTTTTTACCGCGGAAAAATATCTCCTTTGTGAGAAAAAATACAAAAACTGCATTGCAAGAGTATACTAATATGTAAAACCTAAAGATTTGCTTTTTGGTCATCTGAACGCGGGCGGAGCCGCGGGTAAAGCTAGCGAAAAATAAATTGCTACCACCATAATCTACAAGGAAAGCAATAAAATTTTTCATATGCTTTTATATAAAGACGTTGTTTTTCAAGTATTTAATGATAATAATTAAACAAAACATGTAAATGAAATTGAAACTTGAAACACGTCACTAAAACAATATGTTGCTATGCGCTAAACAAAATGCCTTGCGGGTTCCTCTTTATTGTCTTAATTAAGCTTCCGACTAAAATCCTTGGATTATTCCTAATTAGCTCGATCTACTGAACATGGTTTTGGAAAGACAATGTATTGATTTAAGGATTAAAGAAGAAGTAGATTAAATGAGTTCCTATTGGTTTTGCATGTTCTAGCAGGTATAGTGCTAACAATTATATTTTGATTTTATTATTTTTATTTTATAGAAAGATTAATATTTTTTTTCTTTCTTTTATGGATTAGTATGATATAATTATCTATACATATAATAAAACTGTAGAGGTCGAATGTCTGTACATAGAAAAAAAAGCTAAAAACTGAGTCAAGAGGATGTAAGAAGAGAAATGAAACAAATCAAGTTTTTTTTAAATTTTTTTCTCTGTCTGTTTGTACGGGTCAATCTCCAAACTATTGGACCGATTTAAACGAAATTTTGCATGGTGGTATCTTATATCCCGGTCAACATTTTAGATACTTTTCATCTCGGCAAATTAAAGACTTCCCATGGGATAGTTAAAAAACTATAGTAACTTATACAGCTTAGTTTACAAAAACTACTGATTGGATTTCAATGAAACTTTACAATAATATAGTTCATACATGAGAATAACAAATAGGCTACTATTTATCCCGGAAAAACGCACGTGGGATAGTCTTTGTTTGTCATACAAAAATACATACATACATTGCCGTACAAAAATATAAAGGCATTTTTAATATTTATGGGCAAAGCTTAATAATAGTAAGCAATAAGCATAGCAAGTATTAATAAGTTAGTTTCGCGAATCAAATAATAAAAGTGTGTCTATAAAAAATACAACTTCAATTACTTTTATCATTATTTAAAAATTATTTCCTTTATGCCTTTCGATCAACAAGTATTGTTGATCGAAGCCTTTATGTGCTATTTACATATCAGCGTCTTCGCGTTTTATTACTATACCTACTATGTAGTTATGGCGAAATAAACGAAATACTAATATTTGACTGATCAGTCAAAATGATCAAAAAATTCTAACTACCTCTCGGCAGTTTCAGTTTTATTTTATAGATAAAAGTACTATATACATAAAAGTTGCCTAATTTTAGTTGCACTTCTGAACTTCGCTGCATAATATGACAGCGAGCTTTTTATAATAATTTTCCATGCAGAGAAGGCAAAGCTCAAATCTTGAACGTGACCAAAATGCTTGATTGATTGCAGTATTATTTTTTTTAAAGAAAGCGTGCATATATGTATTGTGTCCTATTTATTTTACATGCATCTCATGATAAAAGTTTCCTCTCTTTTTATAATAAATGCTAAAAATTTCTTAATCTAATCTTAGGTAAGTGAGACTTAGAAAAGCTAAGTGAGACTTGCGTATGGAGGGTTTTATAATTTTTATATTTTATAATTTAGGGTTTTTACCTTCTCTTACCACCGATCACTATATTTGTTTTATATTCAATTTCAATCAATAAAACCCTTAAAAGTCTAATTAGTACTTAATCAATTGTAGTTCATTTTACACTACACTGCGTAATCACTTTTTCTAACATTTTTTATACGGATTTTTTTTTACTTTTTTGGAATTATATGTTATTATATATTTACAAATTCTCTTTTAATATAAACACGAGAGTAATAAAGCAGATTTAATTTATATTTATAAGCTGACATTACATTTTTTACAGACGCACAAATTCTTCCTCAGCAGATTATCGCAACTCAATCTTACTTTGTCGCTGGATATTTTACCTGTTTTTGTTATAGCAATCTTCTATGGCTGATATTTCATCATATATTTGATAGTGGTTGACTAATTATTGGCATTCATTTTACTGACGATAGAAAAATTATCTAAATCAATGAAGAACTACATAAATTAAAGATGATAATTCGTTTGATTTTTCCTAAGATTAAGGGCGATTTTGTAATTAAATCAATTATTTGAAAAACATAGATCAATTTCATTTATTAAGGTGTGGCAGTTAAAAATAATACAAATTACATTACCAGGCCACGGTAACATTACCGTGACCAGGCGAACATATTCTGCCGGTAAAAAGCGTTAATAGGTATGTATGTACTTTATTTACATTTTGTACAGTAATTTTTTCTAAATCTTCTAGATGAAGAAATTTGAGCATTGATATATTTAAAGAGGTATATAATATACTTATATACATATAATAAACAAATTTTAATTTTAGGATGCAAACTTAAAACATACATGAAAAACAGACACCTTGTATGATAGTAGTTTTAAAAATAAAATTTTAAGTATACTTATTTGAAATGAATTTTTTGTCCTTTTTTTATTCTACAATTATATATATATATATATATATATATATATATATATATATATATATATATATATATATCAATGTTAATTGTATCGCTATATGTATATAATATTCATCATATAATTTATTTAATTTTTAATTAACTGTACTATTTTATTGGTCACAAAAACATATTAACTGTGTGTAATTGTATATATTTTTATTGTTCTTTTGAGATATTAATGTTGTACTAATACAATAGCATGTTAAAAACCTAGTAATTACCTGTAATTAAAAGTGCAATCATTTTGTTTTTAAAGTAATAAAGCTTTTTATATGTAAGTTATTGTAACTTTTGTTGGTAATTCTAATAAATAATTAAAATAAAAAAAGAACATAAGCTTATATTCTATTATTTGAAAGACCGTAGTTATAAAATATATTACAGAAATTATGTATATCAAAATTAGATATCAAATAGAAGAGAGAGATAGCCCTATAGCCTGTAAAAAAAATATAGCAAAGTACAAATAAGCTTTTCATGATATACCTACCTTATATTTAATTTTAATTACAGTAAAATAAGTACGTTTCATAACACAAAGCCAAGGTAAATTCAAAAGTTTCTTAATTGTTATTGTATCACTAATATTGAGTGTTCAAGGCAAAGAGAAAATCAATATGGGTATCAGAATTAGTCAGTGGCGAACTGGTAAAATATTAATTTACCTACAGTCAATCAAACTTACATTATTAAGTAAAGTTATAACTTTATATCTCTAACTAATTATAAGCATTTCGTCCTCGCTTCTCTCAGCATATGTAATTCTCCCTGCCCCTTATATTTACTATACTCTATCTATCCTTAATTATATTTTCTACCCTGTAGCTTTATCTAAATTATTCTAAGGGAAGCTTTTACTACTAAGAATGATTGTTTGCTTATACATATTAGATTTTGAATTGCGTACAACCTTGTACTAATTACCATGGGCCCAGTTTTCTTTTTAAGTATTGTGTAAAAAATGTAGCAACTTCATTCCACTCTACTGCTTATGCTTTAAATTGATTATCACTGCCGATTTTATATTAGAGAACTGATCTTTCAAACAAAAATCGGCAAAAATATTAGCCGATAGTATGTAGGTATAACTAGTGCGGATACTACTGTTTAAATATTGTTCTAAATGCTATTAGTAATAATAATTGTCGAATTTTATTAATAACTAGCGGCTCACCCACGCTTCGCTCGGGTTCGGCGCTAGGTACGTTTTAAATAAATATAAATAGTTATTAGCCAGCGTTAGCCATATATTGCTCTTTCGTTAATTTTTCTGTTTTAATACTTATTATGTTATTCTGGACTAAGAAAAATCCAAAAAATCAAATATCACAAAAATTGGTCCAGCCGTTCTTGAGTTATAAATGGTGTAACTAACACGAGTTTGTTTTATATACAGATACACCTATGTATTTTCCTTATTTTATATTCTTTTCTCATTATTAAAACTTTCCGTGTACCTTGATAAACATACGAAAAAAAAATTAGCTGAATTGGTCATACATTCATTTTTATTTATATAGATAGATTAGCATCCAGGTCTATCTGTGTACAAAATTTCATACAAAACCATCGATTTGCTTCAGCGTGAAGGGTACTATTTATATTAGTTTTAAAATCAATAACTGAAATAAAATGATTAAGCTATATTTCATATTATATTTCGTCGTATATTGGTGTTCTGCTGGCAAATGTATACCTAATCGTAGCTTATTTTTAGGTTAGGTTTATTTTACCCTAATGCAGAGAAGCCCAAAAGAAGGTTATAACTGCTTAACCGATTATGATGATTCATACGTCGTTAGATTCGTCTGAATTGCAAAATGGCGGATTTTAGGCGCCAATATATTATGTGGCTTAAAAAAAATCGTCCAAATCAATCGAGTGGGGTATCAAAATACTGGTTTTAAAAGTAAAAGATAAAGTGATTCTTTTAAGTTAGGTACTCTTTTACATTTTAATATTATTACAAAAATATTAATACTACCACTTATATGTTTAAAAATACTTTAAGATTAAAAATTATTAAATAAAACAAAAAATGTCTAACTGACCATAACTAAAAAGCTACTGCGTATAAAGCGAACTAAAAAGATGAGAACAAGTTGTCGAAATAACATAGGATTATGCAGTCGAAGACATATTGTATTGAAAATGTATGTCCGGTCCAGTTAAGATCTCGGAAGTAGGTAGTTGCCGACCAGATGACATAATATCCATGGTGCATTATTAATCGATATACAAAAATGTTACGTGTGGTGAATTTCATTAATTATTTTGAAGGTTTTATATCTTTATCTACTTGTGCCAAATATCTCATAAAAATTTCACCTAAACTATACCTTTAAATATACCCACTCGTATGTATAAAAGTATAACGTTATACCTACCTATAACAATTTACAATCAAATTAAATAGTCACGATGAATCTAACAATAATATCTTTTAGTATGTTTATGTCACCGGTAAGATAACTTATAAATAATAAAACTATTTATCAAGTTTCAGTCAATCAGTAGCTCTCGTAGAAACGTTACATCGCGATAAAATGCGGAATTTTATTGTGTTTATAATATTTCTCTTATCGGTGGCCACTAGTGTTGATCAAGCATATTCTTTAAATATACTTGGAGTATTCCCATATGAAGGCAAAAGTCACTTCTTTGTATTCAAGCATTATCTTGAGGAACTAGCGCAAAGAGGTCACAATGTGACAGTTATTTCATATTTTCCTAGAGACAAACCGCTGATAAATTATCATGACATAAGTTTGGCCGGCAAAGCAAAGATTCTGGAAGATGTGTTTTCTTTGCAAAGGTCATATTATAATATATTTAAAATCAGTTTATTCCTTTTCTCCTCTGGCACGGAGAATTGTAAAATATTACTAGCGGACGAAAATGTACAAAATCTTTGGAAATCAAAGACAAAATTTGATGTCATTGTTGTAGAACAATTCAATAGTGACTGTGCTCTTGGCTTGGCCTATGCATTAAGTGCTCCTGTAGTGGGCATGACATCCCACGTCTTAATGCCTTGGGCGTATAAAAGATTTGGCGTCCCCTATAATCCATCTTATGTTTCATTTCAATTCTTGGAAGGAGGAACCAAACCCACATTTTACCAGCGAGTAGAAAGAACAATATGGGATACTTATTTCAATATTGGTTACAAATTTATGAGTCAAGATGTAGATCAAAAGACACTTGCTCAGTATTTTGATAATATCCCACCCCTTGAAGAATTGGCTCATAATATGAAATTCATGCTTATTTACACAAACTTTATCTTAACTGGATCTACTTTGTATCCTCCAAATGTAGTGGAAGTGGGTGGATATCATGTGGCAAAACCAAAACCTCTATCAAATGTAAGTCTGGATGCATAAAAATGCATATGTTCGTAATAGAGATGTCCTTAAAGTAGCATTATATTATATTGATTAATAAATTCAATAATTAAGCTAGAAAATGCAAAAATACTTTTTCAAATCTGCCCCGCGGTGGTACCAGAGATTAACTTGCTCAAACAAATAATATTCGTAACTAATATTAGTAGATATAGATTAACGCCGCGGGCCATGAGTGTTACTTTAAAAGTAAAAGTCATCATAATTTGCTTAATGTTATCTAAAGCTAAGCCTTTAAGTCATCTTGGTAAGATAAATAAATAGTATTTTTATGATAAAATATATATATATATATATATATAGTTCATATATACAAGAATTGCTCGTTTAAATATATTAGATATATTATATTTACATATAACATATGAATATGTAGGTACATATGTATAATTATACTATATAAACCTCATATTAAACTTTATACTTATTCTCAGGAACTGTTAAAATTTATTGAGGAATCCCAACATGGAGTCATCTATATAAGTTTCGGATCAATGCTAAAAGCTGCCTTAACTCCTAAAGAGAAAATCGATGCCATTGTAATTGCTCTAGCAGAACTTCCTCAACGAGTAATTTGGAAATGGGAAGAAGAAACGTTACCTGGAAATCCTAAAAATATATATTTATCCAAGTGGCTGCCACAAAACGATATTTTAGGTAAGTAAATATATAAAATTTGTCAATTATTATATTACCAAATAATAAGCTTTGTCTTTATAGTGCAAAAATCTCATTATTTAAATTTATATAGAAACTTACACTCACATTATGTATAAGTTTCTCTACAATAGACAAATATTTACAAGCTAGCGACTTCCTATTAATATCTCTTTATGAGTGTTAATTATTATACCATACGAGCAGAACCCGCGGTTTCGCTCGCGCTAAAACTACAAAAAGAACTAAAAAAATAGGTTTCATACAAACTTTCATCCCCTTTTTTTTTAACGTTGGGAAATGCATTTACGTACGACGTGTGGGACTCACCGGCGTAATACAGCCAGTACTACCCACTAAAACCCAACAAAACCTTCCCCCGTCTTAATGGGGCGTCGCAGGATCGCTTACGCATTCAACTACAACGCCCCGACGGCGGGTCTGCCGAAGCAGACCACCACAACCATGGGGTTGCTCCAAGGTCCACTCTGCTATCAGAGAAGTACCAGGAGCAACCCGCATGGAACACCGCCCCCCGAAGAGGGCCACCTCCCACCGCCCACCGAAGTGGGCAACCTCCCTGTGCGTTTCTCAGCTTCGCGCTCGGTTGGATTGCCGGGCACTACTGAGCCAACCACGACAAGGTGGACTCTTATGGGAGGAATTTGGAAAAATGCTAAAACACGTATTTATTTAACTGTATTGAAGAGCATTAATACCAAGTTTCAAGTAATTTTGATCATAAATATTTTTTTGGGTTGTATTATAATTTATAACGTGTTTTCCCGGGGGATGAGATAATTTCCCGCGATAAAAAGTAGCCTTTGTTTCTATCCAGCCCTCCAATTATCTCCACACAAAAAAATCACGCCAATCCATCACACCGCTTCAACGTGAAAAAGGACAAACAAACAAACACACTTTTACATTTACAATATTAAGGATGGATTAGCAGTTTGACGTTTTGCCTTGATATGATTACTATAGGTTTTAGATTCTATTAACAGTTAATATTGAACTCTCACATATTAGAAACTAAAAATATTTACAGAAAAAATTACAGTCGCAGAGTTTCGCGAAGCCAGACAATCGCAAGTCGTGTAGCCTGATAATAACATGAGGCAAATATCTTATGGCTCAAATACATATTTTACATTGTGGATAAGTTTATCATTGTGAATATTATAACTTTCAAATATTGATAGGCACAAGACACTAAAAAACCTCATCAATTTCTTATCAATTCTGACATAATTCTATAACTTTACAGCACATCCGAAGGTCATCGCGTTTTACTCTCATTGTGGGCTATTAGGGACCACAGAAGCCATTTACCATGGCGTGCCGATAGTGGCGATGCCAATATTTGGAGACCAGCCGTCAAATGCCGCTGCTGTCGAAGAAAGCGGACTCGGAGTTCAAGTACAAATATCTGAGCTAACTAAAGAAAAACTATTGCAAAAATTTAAGACTATCCTAGATCCAGAGTAAGTATTTGCAAGTATTAAGAAAAAATTAAGTATTACGAAAAGTTTATCTCTTATCCTACGCTTTATACTTAATTAGACATATATTTACTTGTGCGTTATATTTTATTACTTAGTTTTCCGTAGTATTGTATTAAATTGCCTACATTGGTCTGGTGTCTGGCAGTGGGTATGTAGGGCTGCAAATTAAGACGTCCAGGGTTCGAATCTCGGGTCAAGCAATTATATGTATATGGCAGTTAAGTCTTTCAATCAAGAAATTCTCAGTAACAGCCCGAAGAATTTAGTGATATTACATCCCCGAGCCTCGAAGAGCACGTAAAGTCGGTTCTAAGCCTGTTATATCACCGATTGTGTCGATTTGCCGTCCGCCGGTGTTTGAGAATGAAAGAAATAGAGTGCACTTTTCTTTGCACACAGACTTGTACATTATAATATCTCCCGCGCGCATAGTTAGTCTCATGGAGATTTAAAATTTAACCATTAAAAATTTTCAGGTTTAGAGAAAGAGTGAAGATGTTATCAAAAGCTTGGCACGACAGGCCCGTATCTGCTATGGATAGCGCTATCTATTGGACTGAGTTTGCTGCTCGCCACCAGAACTTTACTTTCAGGGCCCCCGCAGCTGATGTGCCTCTCTATCAATACATCTGTTTAGACATAATATCCGTTTTTACTTTTGTATTTATTATTGCTATTGTTACACTAAAAACACTGCTATCATTTGTTTTTTGTAAGTCTAAGCCTAATAGTCACTCTAAGAAATTAAAAAGAAATTAATATTTTTATAATTTATTATTTATAAATTAAATATTGTTTATGCATACTACATAATATACCAGTGTAAAATTAAGTATTAATAAATAAATGCCGAAAATAAAATAGCTATTATCTCATCGACAAGATATGTCAAGTATAATGTCGTTGACAATATAGAGAACGTTTATTTACATTTTACACCCTTCGATCAACAATTTGATCGAAGTTACACCATAACAAGAGCCTGGCCTGCAGCCATATTGAAATACACGTGTTTGAAAATGTTATTCACTCTGGACAGTGTAGTGTAAAATTTAGGTACATAATATTGGACCATATATGGTTTTAACATATTATTCACCGACATATCTTCCAATATATTAATCTGTGGAATTTAAAAATTACTAGTCAATAATACATATGGAAATTATGAAAAATGAATATAAGTCAACATATTCATATTTTATAACATCTATTTTCATGCGTTGTCTATCTCCATACTCACGTACATATTATCTAGCAACTCCAGGTAAATTTCTAAGAAATTAATTAAAAAATTTTCAGATAAATATTCTTAGTTTTCCGCAACTATACCATTTTGGTCTATTTAAAAGTGCAAATACGATATCTTAGGAAATATTAGAAATGAAAGCGAAACTCTGAAAGACTTTATACAGCTAAAAATAGTAAACACATTAAAATTAAAATAAACCAAACAATGCTCTATCATTTTATAAGTTCAAAATGAACTATCAGAGTAGAAAAGAAACGCTTAAAGACGAGGAAAAATTAACCTAAAAAAAACGACTCCAAAAAAAGGACTAAGAAATATTAAATTATTAATTGGAAGTTATCATTAACTATAGATACCTAATCAGATATTTTTGAAGTCGGTGCCAGCCGATACAGATCAAAGCAATTTAAATGATATTAATTATATCAAGTGAAATGTGCTGCGGACATAGAGTTGCCCTGTTTTTGTGGAATCATCCATATACTTATCACAAACAGTGCTTAATCACAATTTTACAAACAATGACTTCAAAATTCAAAATTGGCTCCAAAGTAGGTACCTTACAATATTTGTTGATTTTAATTCTAAGCATTTTTATAAGTATTATAATTAAATACAGCAATATTATTTATGAAATTTTAGTTAATATTATTATAAATATGACTTTTTTTAAACTTTATTAATTAATAACATTATTTAGTGTTGCTATTATTATAATATGTATAACCACAAAGAAAATTAAAAATATTAATTATTTATTTAAGCAATTTTTTAATCACCCAGATTTTCACACATCAGACCATATTTTGCGTGGAATGCAAATGCAAAAGAAAACTGCATGAAAACCCGAAAACACGCGTTTTTTCAGACATAAGACTAATCTAGATCGATTAACCGCCTATATATACATATCTATATATATTTATACTAAAAATAATATAAATTATTAATTATATAAAATAGAACTTATATGTATTATTGTAGATTCATTATTTTATACTTTATGTTGTCATTTTGATATAAAATACTTCTTTAAGTTTTCTAACGTTGTCAGACTTGAGTTGAAAAAGGGCGGGAGCAGCGTTGTATTTTGTTTCATGACTTTTAAAAATAATGCGTGATGCGTCATTCCTTTTTTTAAATGTCGTTTGAGGCGTTACTTTGACTCTGTATAAAATAATAAAAACTGTGTGCTGTTACACTGAATTTTACATGGCCTACCTGACCTACTTCTGAGATAAACTCGTAATAATATACAAGAATTGCTCGTTTAAAAATATAAGATATTATTAATTTTGACAACATGTTTGGCTCAGTATGTAGTGTCTCTACTTGCTGTGTCAGCGGTCGCAGGTTGGAGTCCCGCTGGGGGCATTCATTTGTGTGATGAGCACGAATATTTGTACTCTAGTCATGAGTGTTTATATTTATAGTCTCATTTATATGGACTTCAAATTACTATTTAAAACTTTAGTAGATTTTTGAGAGCTTTTTGAGGGCGATTGAGGAATAAATTAACTATATACAAAATGATAATACTAAGGGTAACATGTGACTATATTTGATTTCAGCCAACAAAATCTCTAGATTAATTATAATATTCCATATATCTACATACTTTTCAAGCTCTACATTTCGCTAGGCACTAGGAAGTGCCTAGTGAAGAGTAGACGTTAAGAAGTAAATAACCGATTGTACCACCAATTGAATTTACAACGTAGAGGTACAATCACAGATTAGGAAGACGAACGGTAGTCGGTATAATATACTCTATGAATTGAAAGACTCCGATAAGAGTATATAAATAAAATGTACGCACAACATTACGTAACTTGTGACTAGAAGCTTTTTAATTTTTATTTTGTTATAAGTTTAATAAATCTTACAGAATTTAAATAAATTGTATGACATAATATGTATTTTATTTATGAGTATCATATTATTACATATAATGATATACTATAGATACAGGCCCACAAACAATATAGAAATGCTTAGCACTGGTAGGGGCCAGTAGAGTACGGTCGGCCGTACCTCTCGCGTGCTTGCAATATGAAATTTTATTTTACGTTATATATAGTTTTCTTATGTGTTATTTCACACTCTGTAATCGCGTTAAATATTCTGGGCATATTCCCATATCAAGGCAAAAGTCATTTCTTAGTGTTTAGTGTTTATTTACAAGAACTAGTCAAGCGAGGTCATAATAATAAATTGCTGTAAAGCATTATAAATAAATAGTGAGGGGTATAACTTGAGTTGTATTATTTAACACATATTTCAAAAAGCCAAGATTTTAGCAAAGTGATACAATTCAGCTAAAATATGAGAATAGGGGACTGATAAGTAAAAAAATCTCATGTTTGGGGTAGTATATTTATCATTTGTTTGAGCAACATTGCGCTAGGAACATATCAATTTACACAACGACAATTTATAGGTGCAACATAATTTAACTATACTTGTACCATTTATCACGTAATTTTAGCATGTACTAGAAATAAAAAAAGGAACAACCTGTGAGTTTTTCAATAATTACTTTAAAACTATAATATTTACCAGAAAAATTTAAATGCACAGTGAAAGTGAATGTTTTTATCTACAAATTAAGGTACTCAAGTTTAACCTAGCCCACTTAGGACGCGAACTAGAATTTTTTAAATCTTGTTTTTGCTCTCCTGTAAAATGTAGGTACATTATTGACTTGTATCACTTATCACAGGAGGTACAGATTTAAACAGAGCTCAGGTTCTCCGTAAGTGCGTACAATTTTCCGTCGTGGGTTTATTTACATTTTGCTGTCAATACTACCTACTTTTTTGTGAATAGATATACTGCAGCGAAAATATTCCTGACTTACGACGAAATCCATATTATTTAGCTTTCCTGGGTTTATTAAGTGGACCGTACGCTGATCTTCAAAATATACCTTGGATTTTCTATTTTTATTGTTATTATATTTGCCCAACCAACATCATAATTGTAATAGGCATTGGACAGTCTGAATATAGTGTGCATTCAGCCCTTTTTAACGTCTCATTGCAGGGCTTGGGCCTCCCTTCAATGTGAGAGGGATCAGTCCATAGTCCATCACGCCGGCCTAGTGTATTTTGTCGAACTTCACATGTCTTTCGAAAAGGTTTCTCATTGCTAGGTTCTCTCAGACATGCAGGATCCCTCACGATATTTTCCTTCACCGCTAAGACAAATGGTAGTCATATTGTAAATCATTCGCACATAAAAATATTAGAGGTGCGAGACTCAGGATTTGAACCTACTTCACTCGGTTTCCCATGCGAACGCGTTATCACTGGATTACTGCGCTGATATATATACCAGTTGTAATTTTCATAACTTCCTGTTCATGATAGTTTTGCCTAGAACTTGCATTTTTATCATTTATTTCAATTACACCCGTAATTATAATACTTTTCTGGCAGTTATACCGGTCTTGTATTTCTAAAGTAACGTATTCACTGGTAAGCGATAGCGAGCTACCGGATGGTAGAGAATATTTATTATACAAATTGAATTCTTATTCCATATTGTTCACTTTGTCTTGTTGTTTTATTTCTTGTAACACATTTTGTTGTTTTATTTTATAATTTTTGTTGTTTAAAAGTTAATTTTTTAGTTAATTGAATCTATCTCTTTTTATTATTAACTGACTTCCAAAAAGAAGAAGGTTCTCAATTCGTCGGAATCTTTTTTTATGTTTGTTCATCGATTACTCGAACTCGCCTGTACCCATTTGGATTGTTTTTAGTTTTGAAGGGTACATATACTTTCCAGGTGATCCCATTTAAATTTTATCGAAAACAGTAGATCGACTTTTTTTTAAATCAACAATAAATTATTTTTTTAAATAAATTGCTTAATCAAATATGTTATTAAAAAACTTTCTTCTTACAACACTAAAAATGGAAATGTAAAAACTAAAAAAAAAATTATAACCGACTTCCAGGCACTAAAACGTAAAAAATAACTAAACGGGGATTTTTATTTAGAATCAGTAGATACCTAATCAGTTGTAAAGTTGGTGCCAGCCGACAATATTTTAAGATATGAATATCTATATCTATGAATATCTAATAGGTAAATATGATTAGGTATGAACTTTAATTGTAGTTAAAATATTATAAATCAATTTGTGATGTATTTTACGTATATATTAGATTTGCTTTGTATAAGCTGGCACCGACTTCGAAAATATCTCATTAGGTAGGTATCATCTATTCTAAATGAAAACCCCCGTTTAGTTATTTTTTACATTTTAGTGCCTGGAAGTCGGTTTTTATATATCTTTTTAAAAGTTTATATTTTCATTCTGATTTTTTTATTTTCCAATAGTAATTTTATTTTGTTATGAAGCTATGTGAATTCTTCCTTAAAATGGAACGAGAGACAAGAAGAAAACAACGCACGGTTTTCTTTTTCTTAAAGTGATATAATCAATTCCGCTAGCATTGTTGCTCTTTGGAGACCGTTGAATATACAGCTTTAGATCGTAGATAACTTTAACAGAAGCGCTTACGCACAGGTAGGTGCGAACAGGATGAAAAATCAGAGCCCTATTCTTTTACTCAAGAGGGTGAGACGTGTATTTGCGTCGCACTGATTTATTATACACAGTGATATGCCACAACTTTGAAGTAATTTTAAATCAACCATATTGTCTTATGAACTAGGTTTACTTTAGACAGTCACAGGGGTTTGTAACTTTAAATTATTTTATAATAACTTAAAACAGGTCTGCTTCGTACAGGTGTATAACAGTAGTATCGATATGGTTTTATCGATATAATATTTTTAATTACCAGTGTTTAGAATATGTAGCCGTAATTTACAAAAATTGTACAGATAGTACCACATTATGGTTAAAACTATATAAATTGAAATCTATTTCACCTTTGAGATTATTTCTTGTTACGTATGAAATTGTACATAACACATAGTGAATTTCATAGAATTTATTAGAAAATTACGGTTAAAAATTGCAATAACTGATTGCTTCAGAAATGTATAAAATACAAAAATAATGTTCTCGAGTTTCAAACAATTCAGGTTTTTATATTAGTTTAGATCACGTTATTTTTATTAAACGACCAAAACAGGAGGAGGTTTTTAATACGACACGTATTTTTTGTTTTTTTTTTTTGTTTGACCACGCCTATATTTTTACAGGGTAGTAGGATTTCGATGATTCTTTTTTTTATTGGACAGGGTATACCTCAAAGTTGGTCCTCGACTTCAAAAAAAGCACTAAAAAGTTACAATATAAATATTTTTTACTTTTTAGTGTAGGTATATTCAGTGTTTATAGTGTATTTTAGATATACATATATCTGATTAGATATTTATAGTAAATGAAAACTACCAATCAGTTACCTGTTCAACTTTTTAGTATTTTAAATTTAAATATTAGCTAACAATATTTTTAACTTTTTTAATTTTAAATAATCTAAGAAAGTATTATTTTTTACTTTTCCTATATTTGTAAATAAAATAATAATACGGATATTTATCGATACCGATGATGTAATAGAAGTTTTAGTGTGTTACAGCATATCAACCTGCGATGCGAATGTCAACCTTATCTGTATTGAAATTGTTTTCATAATTGTGTGTATTGAAGATTACCCGCCATCTTTGTTAGTAGAATACAAATGTCATAATTACTGTAGTATAGTGTATATAGTACAGCAAAATAAATCTTATTTATAGTGTAAAAAGATAAATTTTCAATTATGGGATATTGATAAATATGCTAGTTTTGACTAAAATGAAACACAAAAATAATAATAATAATCTTGCCACGAAACTAAAGAATGAATTAATTAATAATAATCTTTATTGCCAAAAAAAGCACAACTTACAATATATTTTATATCTAAAGCCAGAAAAGTTGTCGAGTATCGTGAGTACCACAAGTCTATTGAAATTTAAAATAAAAATATTGTTGCTCGGCAAACATTGCTAACAATAATATTTGATTGGTTGCTTATTGTTAGTTCAAAATATGATTAACGGTGTATCTGTGAGTTTGGCGACACAAGTTCCGATACAAAAGTAGTCACATAACACTTCCCTTGTTTTATCGCTTCCGTGGTAACTATCAACATGTGTATTATCTTTAAAATTAAAATGATATAATTATCTGAAACGTTTTTTGCATTTTTTAATTTATTTATTGATAAACTCTCAATAGATTAGCATAAACTAATGGTGTAACGTGTAATAAAATAATTAATAAATCAAATTGCTTACGATGACTTTAGTTATTTTCTTTAATATTTTTATGATACTAACTTTAAATAATTTAAATGTAGTGGACACATTAAACATTTTAGGAGTGTTTTCGTTACCAATAAAAAGCCATTTCTTTGTGTTTTCCCCTTATTTAAAAGAGTTAGCAAATCGTGGACACAATGTGACGGTCATATCGTTCTACCCACAAAAGGAGCCTATGGTGAACTACTATGATATAGACTTGGGTGAAAATGCTCCAGCCATGGAAATCAGCCAACCTATAAATAAGTCATTGTTCATGGTTTTTCTTTCAACAACAATATTTCATGCGTTCAGTGGACCTCTTACTTGTAAAATATTATTCGATAATGAGAATGTTCAAAACTTGTGGGAAGCGCATGTAAATTTTGATTTAGTAATTGTGGAACAGTTCAACAGTGATTGCGGTCTAGCTTTAGCACATGCGTTAAGAGCTCCGGTTATAGGCATTACTTCTCACGTACTATTACCATGGCACTATAACAGATTTGGTGTTCCTTACAATCCATCATATGTACCGTTTGGTTTTGTGGATGCTGGCACAAAACCGACCTTTATGCAAAGACTCACAAGATATTTTTTTTATAATCAGGTCAATATTATTTATACATATGTAAGTCAAGTAATAGAACAAAGTATAGTACAAGAGTTTTTAAGTGATACACCTCCTCTAAGTGATTTAGCAAAAGATATCAAATTAGTATTAGTTTATCAAAATTTCGTGTTTTTTGGATCAACAATTGCTCCACCAAATGTTATCGAAGTAGGTGGTTTTCATGTGGCTGAACCAAAACCTTTACCAGACGTGAGTACCTATCTTCGTATATTTTATCTTTTAATGATGTAATTGTATATTTTTTTACTTTATCTATTTGTGTCAACTTGTATATTGAATGTTTGTACCTTTTTTAGGATTTTTTTATCAAATAATAAAGTATGAAAATTATTATCAAACGTTTTCTTTAATAAATTAGGACTTGAAGAAATTCATCGAAGAGTCAGAATATGGCGTCATTTACATTAGTTTTGGAACAATATTAAAGGCATCTTCAATGTCAACCGATAAATTACAAAGTATTATAAATGCTCTAAACGAACTACCTCAAAGAGTTATTTGGAAGTGGAATAAAAAATCTCTACAAGGAAACCCAAAAAATATATATCTCGCTAAGTGGTTACCACAGAATGACATTTTAGGTAAATAAATATGTCGAACTATACTGCCCTCCCGAACCTAAAGTGCAGTAACAGCAAAAACACGAATTCGAGAAAAACGCGCCTAAAGTTTAGAATCCATAAAAATATATCAAAAAGAGACTTTTCGATAAAACCTTGAATGGAAAGTGAAAGAATATGTACCAAACTAAAATACTAAACATTGTTACGTTAGTTTTTTTATAAAAAACTATAATTATGGCAATTTTAATTTTTTAGCCCCTATTACTACACACACTTTATTTGTATAATGTTTTCAAAAACTGTTTTAAATGCAGTAAATCCTGTTATTACTGCATTTTAGACATTTCTTCCATGATTGTTACTAACTAAAGTGCAGTAATATTATGAAAATACTGCTATTTAATCTGTTTTTTTGAACAAAACACTGATATTCTACACTTATAGTAATATAAAATTACCTTTAATTTTGATAAAAATATGTAATTTCTTAAACAAAACTGGACATGCATTTATGACTATGCTATTAAAACTATTCATCAAAACATTGTACATTATAATCTAATAGTGTAAATTGTTTTATATGACTAACAATACAACAATCTTTACAAGATGTTGATAATCTTAACTAGTTAATCAACCATAAAACTATATCACATATATTTCTCATGCATGGATCAATAAATTTTACATAAAATCTTTCTTCCGAACATAACTAATTACTAAATGAATATTCTTGTCTTACAAAAATAATAGTCTGAAAAGATTATGGAAGGGAGAACCAAGAAGAATTAACTTATATGGGAAACAAGTTGAAAAAGTGTCCAGTAGTGAGCAGCAAATTATAGCTCAGAAACTCACCGTTACAGCACTAGCGTAGCAAGTAGATGTGATGTGAAGTTAGTAGTTTTTAACGGAGTGAAGTGTGCTGAATTATTATTACTTGAAAATAATATATAATTATATTGCTGTTTGCCTATGCTAGAACTATTTTGAAAAGTGCGCCACAGCAAAGCGGAAATCTTTCTTTCCTTGTTTAATTCACCTTCTTACTTTTATGACGCTATGTTTTAAACTAGCGACTCACCATCGCCTCACTCGGGTTTGTCCCTGGATACTTTTTTTTTTGAGCGGAACTCTAATTCTTTTTAAAAAATAAAAGTAGCCTATATTACTCCCTATAACATCAGTTACCTTCCACTGAAAGTCCGTCAAAATCAGTCCAGCCGTTTCAGAGATTATTCGGAACAAACAGACAGACAAAAAATTTAAAAAATTAGTTTTTCTTATAAGTACCGTATATAATTTCATATGCATTTAGTGAAAAGGTTTATTTTGACATTACAAACAGACACTACAATTTTATTTATCTGTATAGATGTATATATTCATATACTTGTTTTCTGTGGCGCCACCAATTTAATGCTTGTCAGCGGTCACTTTTTATACGAGAAATAGTTCTCCTTAGTTCTACCCTCCATATCTCTTTGGTACAGACACAGCATGGCATGTCAAGTCAGCCTTAAGCCACAGATCCTTGAGACAGACAGACAGAAGGACTGCCTCAAACCGCGATATTGCCTGTCCTGTGTTTTAATATTTTAATAATTTTACCTATTAAAACGCATACTGCGTTTTAGGGAATAGTATTTGACTTTAAGTATTTTAGGTAGTATGACTTGGATGGAGCAAACTAACTAATATGCAGTAAAATTTATAAATATTGTAAACTAAATGGTCTTTTACAAGCAACTACAAAACATCCTACAAGTTAAACTGCAGTAAAGTTATTAAATACTGCATGTCTTTTAGTTTTTCACAAGAAATTACAAAATCCCCCACAAGTTAATGTGCAGTATGGAATGTTAATACTGCATTTTAATAAGTTTTTTCTTGAATCTCCTAGAACAAACTACTATTTTAAGTGCCACAAAATATGATAAAACACTGCAGTTTAGTTAGGAAACAGAGAAAAATCTTGTGCAGTATTAATTGTACTGCGGTTTAGCTGGTAAACATGGAATATTTTAACAGATTTGTGATATTTTTGCTGTTACACCTTCCGAAAAAACATTAAAATAAAATACTTTTATTAGCGCTACAGAAAAAAGAATTAATTTGACTGATAGCTACTAAAATGGGGATTTTTTTATTTTTATTTTTTATTTTATTTTATTTTATTTTATTTTGAATATATAATTAACTCAAAACCGACCAAAATGTCTATTACTGCACTTTAGCCTCAGGTGGGCAGTATAATAACCTACCCATATAATTTTTTGAACAGCATCAGACAGGTAGATACTTCCCACGCTTTAAACTACACTAAAATACAAAGAACTATTTTAAAATACAATTAGGAAATATTACAATAATAAAAGGAAATATTATTTTATTTAAGTTTGGCAAAAACAGCACGAATAGAGCCAAACCTCTTAAGTGTAGTTTTATTGTTACTGATTATATTTAAAATATAATCAGTAACATTAAAAAGGGGACTTTATGTGATTACCAAAAACAGGCTACAAACTAAAAAGTAATATAATCTATCTTATATAAATTTCAGCACATCCTAAACTCAAGGCGTTTTTTTCACATTGTGGCTTATTGGGAATTACTGAAGCCTTATATCATGGCGTGCCTGTAGTAGGCATGCCAATTTATGGAGACCAACCGACTAATGCAGCAGCTGTAGAAGAAAGTGGACTTGGTGTTCAAGTACAGTTGGACCTTATTACTAAAGAATATATCCTTGATAAATTTAAAATTGTTCTTGATCCAGTGTGAGTATGTTACTATTAAAATTACATTCGAATAATAACTTTTCACATAAAGTAGTGTTTACGCCATAAACTTAAAAAACCTATAAGTATTAAATTCCACAAAGAATAATTTTGTATAGTACCATACCAAATTTATATAAGTCATAAACATTTTTTTTTGGCGAAGACATCGCATAACATACCCACAAAAGCCAAGGATTCCCGACCTCGTTGAAACGCAAACCCGTTAGCTTTACGAGCACTTCGGGGCACATAAGAATTATTACGACATCTTAGTTTCCCTAGTAGTTTGTTGAAATACTCCCTTTATTTTGGTATAAAGTTTAGTTATTGAGACTTTCTGTATATTAAATCTCAGTAACAGCCCGGAGTTGGGAAGTTGGCGGTGTTTCACCCCCGTGCCTCGGAGAGCACGTAAAGCCGTCGGTCCTGCGCCTTAACTCTCACCGGTCGTGTCGAGTGGTCGTCCCACCGGAGTATGAGAGTGATAGGAATAGAGAGTGCACTTGTGTCTGCGCGTACACTTGAGCACTAAAATATCTCCTGCGCAGTTGGCTAATCTCAATGAGATTGGCCGCCGTAACCGGAATCGGCTAGGAGAACATCATCATCATTTTGGTATAATTTATTCATCTACCCATGGAAAAAACTATACTTTCATCAATAATCATCATCAAAATCATCAATAAAATAACATGTAACAAAATTGTTATGCCCAAATTTGTAGAGTTAGAATTTACGACTTAACCATGAAAGCTAAAAGATATATTTTAATTTATGGAATACCAAAGCAAAAGTTAAGCATCTGCCAATTTCAATTTCCAGGTTTCGAGAAAAAGTAAAACAACTATCCAAAGCATGGAATGACCATCCCATAAAACCGATGGACAAAGCAATTTTCTGGACGGAGTATGCTGCGAGATACAAGAACTTTACAATCAGACCTCCAACTGTAGACGTTCCTCTTTATCAATATCTTTGTTTAGATACATACTCGGTTATTCTCATAACCGTGGTAGCAACTATCATAATACTTAGATATATTATATTAATCTTATATAAGAATTTTGTACGTAAGCAATATGACCCACCTGGTGCTAAAAAAACGAAGGTTAACTAATAAGTACATTTATACAACTGACTGACTTTTGCCTACAATATTTTAACGCTTTAAAAAAGTAAGCTTTTATCTTTATTAGTATAAGTAAATATGTACCTAATATGTTTTTTTCTGAAACAGAAATCATTCACTTTAATAAAACAAGGCATATAAAAACAAAAAATATCTAGACATGTTTTGGAATTCTTCAAACTATGCATACCTAATTAAAAAGTTATACATAAGTACAATAAAAATGTTATGTGTGTAGGTAGATATTAAATGTTTACTTAAAGCGAAAATACTATCTCAACCTTTTATGTATATAACAAATTAAATAGGTAAAAAACAAAAAGTGTCTCCTTTACTGAATATTAATTGGATTGCATTAAACATACGTATCTATCAAAAATTAATAAAAATGTATGGACTTCAAATTATTATTTCAACTTACATTTTTAAAAGTTTTAAGATTCATAAAAAATGAGTGCTTGTAACCTTTACGCGCAGTTGAAGTATAACTTCTTCGACGCTGTGGCAAATATCGCAATTAAATTAAAACAAACCAATATATAAATATACTATTTTTCATAAAATTATGAATAATAAATATATCTGTATCTGTATAAATATTATAACGAAACGTGAAAGTTTGTGAGTAAGTATGTATGTTTGTTACTCTTTCACCAGAACGGCTGAACGGATCTGGATGAAATTTGGCACAGAGATAAATTATAGTCTGAAATAGCATATAGGCTACTTTTTTACCTCGGAAAAATATACGTTTCCCGAGGGATAGAGTTGTTTTCGATTTTCTAGAGGCGAACCCAAGCGAAGCAAGGGTGAGTCAAGTCAAGTGAGGCAAGTAATAAGAAGACGATTCAGCCATATGAAGTAGTCGGCTGCGCAAAAACAATTCATGTTTTCGAAAAAAGTCTTCTGCATGGGCGTACCCAGCTTTTGGTCTTGGGGGCAAAACAGACATTTGCCCCCTCCCCTCCCCCCGTCTAACGTGCTTGTTTTTCCCTACACACTATATGAAGACTAAAAAAAATCGGAATGTCCATTTTTATTTTGCGGACACTGTTTATTATTGTTCAACAGATTGCACACTGCACACAATATCAACCAGATTTTTTAAATACCATATAGGTATTTGTATTCCCATATTGGTATACAAACGATTTACGCGGATTTTGTTCACAATTTCATGGGTTTTTTTTTTGCACCGAACCCTAATTATTTAAAAAAAAAATTTGCCGAGTTTTAGCGATTACCAGGGTGCGGCGACGTTCGACAGAAGCGCGCCCAGATTAAGCTAAACGCTGTTTAATATGCTCATCCATATAGATGTCTCAACTTACATTGGCAGCGTCTTTTCTGAAATTAATTTTATTTATTGGCTACAATGTGAAGTTTTTTTATTTTATTTCTATATACACACACGTGTTTAATATCGATAAATATAAAAATTATTACAAGCTTTTATTTAGTTTTACCTGTCTCAGTGTCTGTCTGTAATCAAATCTTACAAGTTAAATTTGACCCACTTCCAATCGTCCGATTGAGCTGAAATTTGGAATACACGTTTGACTCTCGTGACTGCACGATTTCCTAAATACTTCAATACGACTTTAATTCAATACGACGGACGGACGTTACAAAATGGCGATTTATTATTTTCATAGTAACCCACCCATATGATATGGGTATCAAATGCAAGGGCTTTAAAATTTAATATGGCGGACTGTTTATTTTGCACCCCCAAGATATTAGACCAGGGTCCATAATTTTTGAAACCAAAAAAATAATAGTAGAATGAAGCCCATTGAAGGCAGTGGTAGCCCAGTGGTAACGCGCTCGCTTGGAGTTGGGAAACCGAGTAAAGCGAGTTCAAATCCCGGGTCTCGCACCTCTGATATTTTCATATGCGAATAATTTCCAAAATGATTACCACTTGTCTTAACGGTGAAGGAAAACATCGTGAGGAAACCTGCATGTCCTAGAGAACTTAGCAAGTTTTCGAAAGACATGTGAAGTCCGCGAACCCGCATTTGGCCAGCGTGGTGGACTATGGCCTGATCCCCCTCGTATTGAAGGGAGGCCCGTGCCCAGCAGTGGGACATTAAAATGGGCTGAATACATACATACGAAACCCATTGGAAAAGGAAAAGAATATAACAAAAATGAGAGGAAAAATAATTTACGGGCGAACTGAGGTCGGGAAGTTGGAGGGGTGAGTTTTTAAGGGTAAAAAACGGTTTATCTCGATTTCTGGCAAAACTACAAGTCCTACTAAAAAATTAAATGGCAAAGTTGTAGGTAATAAAAAGATCTACACCTTTTTGTATTTACACTTTTTTCACATAACCTTAATGCAATAAGTATTTATTCCAATAAATGTTTAAAATATGTGTTTTTTTATTAAATTGACATAACTTTTTTATTTATTAACCGATTGAAATAAAACAAATACTAAATGTTAAGTGAAGCTTACCATAAAATACATTCGAGAAAACCGCATACAAATTGGTTAAGCCGTTTCTGAGATTAGCACGCACAAACGCACAAACAAACAGACAAAAATTCTAAAAATCATTGTTTTGGGTTATATCGCGTTTTAAAAACCCCCAATAATAGTTTTTCTCAATTATCTCCCATGTACAGACAGCGATCAGTTACAATTTATTATATGTATAGATATGGGCATTGATTATTTTTCGTCACCTACTTTTGGCTCTTTCAAAACAATAACATGTCAAATACGAGCTCGCAGTCCAGTACACGAGCGCTAGACTAGATTCGATAATCTTCGTAAGTCGTTGGCGCGGCAGCGAGTGGCTGGCGAGCGTGAAGTTCGCCGCTCGCTTGCTGCTGTAGCGTGTTCTATGAATACAAGTTGACCGGGCGCACAGCGCAATTTTTTTATAAGTTAACACATAATATATTGTAAAGTAATTCGTAACACTCGTAACCTGACTCAAACATAACTTTATCGACAACAGTAGGTACGTAGACAGACATGATCCAGGGGGGGGGGGCAGCTGCCCCCCCTGCCCCTACCTGGGTACGCCCATGGTCTTCTGGGATAACTTTTCACAAGTAACTGATTTTCTGTATAATTTAAACAAAATCGCAAAAATATTTAACATAATTCTCCTAACAAGAATTCTAGACGCCATTGTGTCAATGTTGCAAGTTAAAAACATTATGTTTTCCCAAAAGTAAGGAAAGTTATGATTTTTGTACACGTTAAAACTTCTTTTTTTTAAATCTTATTATCGTATTGTAGTTTTCGAGTATATTAGGTATATTATTAAACGTCAAAACCGTGATTCCGAACTAGAATCAATATTTGACACTCCCAAAAGAAATAAACTCGGACAACAAGTTAGAAAGTATAAATTACGTTATCAAATTCATGCACGCAAAATCAAAACACTTTATCACAACGTTAAAGGCCTTAAAAATAAAAACGTGTCAAATTAGTTATAATTATTCTAATATATGTAAGATTTGTGTGTACCTATTGTTAAATTATTAATTGGTTTTTATATAAGAATAAATGACTCATTAAACTAATTTACAAAAAACAATACTACCTATAATAAAACTTTTCACCAAAGTACTTATATCTCTCGCACTTGGGAGTCGTAAGCACAACGCTTGCAACATTTTTCTCTAGCACACTTGCGCAAATCTACGCTATCTTACACCGAGTTACGCACACAAAGCCAAAACTTTGCCTCACTTATTTCGTAGCGTTTGTTTACAACGGCTCCGTCTATACTTTTTTATTGGTCTGAGTAATAATTATTATAAAAATATAATATTTTTTATAATTATTAATAATAAATTTGTCTCTCACTTCCGTGCCACTCACTTCCGCGACACTTCATTTTTCTTTTGTATTGACTTATCTCTCAGCCACGCCTAAAGAAGTTTTATTTAATTAAAAAAAAAATTACCTGCATGATTAAAAAAGAGCCCTGTTTTTTTTTGAGGTCGATTGAAGAGTAAACCTAACATATTTAAACGAGCAATTCTTGTATAATCTGAATCTCGGAAACGGCTCCAACGATTTTCATGAAATTTAGTACACATGGGGTTTCGGGGGCGATAAATCGATCTAGATTATTTTAAATAAAACTATCTTTTCGGATTTTGTCGCGGATTTATTTGGATTTTTGTTTCCCGACGTTTCGAATGCTTTACAGCATTCATGGTCACGGGAGAGACTGAAGTGTTACATGTCTCAAAGGTATAGTTGTTACAGACAGCCTACCCACAATTAACAAAATGAAAATTTCACTAATTACTTTACAATATTTTTTTAACTTTAAACATATTTATAATTTTAATTAGTTTTATAATTGAAAATGGAATATTATTTATTTAATTTTGCTGTTCTTATTATAATTAAAATTTTAAAATATTAATTAGTAATCTATATTTAGTGCTGCCATTATTATATTTATAACCATAAAGAAAAATATAAAATATAGTATTAATTATTTAAGCCATATAAATGTTCTATGTGTAATTTAAAAAGTTAAAATTAATTAAGGATAATAATTTTAATTTAGTTTGCTATTATTTAAAAGACAAATTACTAAGCAACACTATTACTATATACCTTTACAAATGAAAAATGAAAATTATCAATCTGAAATGCTGTCATTTTGATCCACACAGTAAGAACTTACTACATCTGCCTGTCTGTTATGTTTAGATTTATTATTTGATTTTATTATATTAATAATAGGATCCCATGACGATGGTAGTACCCAGCCATCTTCCCTATTGAAATTTGGATGTTTTCCCTATTGAAATTTGGATCTAGATTAGTCTTATGTCTGGGAAAACGCGTGTTTTCGAATTTTCATGCGGTTTTATTTTGTATTATTCCACGCAAAATATTATGTTCGATAATTTCGCACGCTCGGGCATAAGCATTATGGCGAAGCGGCCAAGGCGCAAGATTGAAAAAGTGTCCGGGTTCGAATCCCGGTCAACACAAAGGTATATTTCTTTTTTGTATTTTTTTGTATTTATTCAAGTTTTTGTTTTTTTTTAATAAAAGAAAATTGTACTTTCGACCAAAAACTCCGAACGAAGCTCGGTGGCCCAGGTACTAAGCTATATACATACTATTAATACTGACTATATTTGATTTCAGCCGAAAAATCTCGAACCACCAATTTAATTTACAACCTATAGATTAGGATAACGAACGGTAGTCGGTATAATCTATACATATAATAAAATTGTAACCGCATCACGAAAAATCCACTGAAGGGATTTTGATGAAATTTTGTATCATGATAGCTGGTTATTCGGGTCAACATGTAGGATACTTTTCACTGCGGGAAAATATCCATCTCTGAGAAATCTATATTAAACGTTAAAACGTAAGTAGGGACGAACCCGAACGGAGCGAGGGTGAGTCGCTAGTATACTCAATTAATATTGAATTGAAAGACTCCGATAAGAGTCTATAAGCACAGAGCATATAAATAAGATACACGCACAGCATTACGTAACTTGTGACTTGCAGCATTTTATTTTATGTTATCTATCTCTATAACGCAACGAATGTTGCTAAGCGCAAAACTCGAGAATGGCTTGACCAATTCAGCTGATTTTTGTTTGGTGTTCCTTAAGGAACACGGAAAGTTTTAATTAAGAGAAAAAATGAAAAATTAACGAAAAAATAATTAAAATTTATATGGCTAACGCTGGCTAATAACTATTAATATCTTTTTAAAACGTACCTAGCGACGAACGCGAGCGAAGCGAGGGTGAGCCGCTAGTGTTAAATAAAAATGAATCACCGAAATGTATATACATAAATATATATAAAAATACATACATACAAAAATATATACATAAATACATAGTTTTTTTTTGTGTTTGTCATGTCAGGAATTTTAAATAGAAAATTTTTTTTTTACTAAAATAAGAGTTTTTTATTATTATTTTTTTTACCCTTTTTACTAAAGTTATGCATCAATTTCAACGGGTGTACCTAAATACAATTTGTTGTTAAATATTTATAAAATGTAATTAAGATACCATTGTAAACGTAACAGAGCGTCATAGTCGCATATTAAGCGACAAAGCTCTTTAAACGGAGATAAAAAAAAAAAAAACAAAGAGTTTTTAAATCTCATGGTAAGAAAAATGAGTGAGTGAAATACTTAGTTTTTATCCCGGAAATCATCCCTTAAGAGGGGGTGAGAATGGGTTTAAAGTTTGTATGGGAAAACTAGCTAGGGACGAACCCGAACGAATGAGTAGCTAGTAATTTTAATAAATCTCACAGAATTTAAATAATTTGTATATAAATAATATGTATTTTATTTATAAGTAAGCTCATTACAACTATCCATACTAATATTATAAATGGGAAAGTGTGTTTGTCTGTTTGTCCTTCTTTTACGTCGAAAAGGAGAGACGGATTGGCGTGATTTTTTGTGTAGAGATAGTTGGAGGGCTGGAAAGTGACATAGGCTACTTTTTTACCGCGAAAGATTATCTAATACCCACCGGAAAACACATTATAATCCAATCCAAAACAATATTTTTAATCAGAATTACTTGAAACTTAGTATTAATGCTCTTCAATAAAATTAAATAGATACATGTTTTAGTATTTTTCGAAATTCATCCTACAAGACGGTTAAACAGGGGATGAAAGTTTGTATGAAACTACGTTTTAGTTTTTTTTTTGTAGTTTTGGCGCGAGCGTAACCGCGGGTTCTGCTAGTTTACATATATGTATTAACATGCAGATTGATATTGAGCGTTAACTTTCAATGTCCCTAAATCCTCGCGTATTACATATAATACAGATACAGACCCACAAACTATGTATATACAAATGGAACGCACGCACTGACAGTTGCCAGTAGACTGTAGAGTACGGTCGACCGTACCTCTCGCGTGCTTGCAATATGAAATTTTATTTTACGTTATATATAGTTTTCTTATGTGTTATTTCACACTATGTAAACGCGTTAAATATTCTGGGCATATTCCCATATCACGGCAAAAGTCATTTCTTTGTGTTTAATGTTTATTTAAAAGAACTAGCGAAGCGAGGTCATAATGTAACAGTGATTTCTCATTTTCCTCAAACTAATTCGTCACACAACTATCATGATATAAGTTTAGCTGGAAGTATTAAAATTGTGGAAGACGATTTAGCATTTCATAGATCATATCTATCCATATTTGAAGTGGGTTTATTTTTAACAAATACTGGAAAAGAGAACTGTGAAGTATTAGTAGCTAATCAAAATGTTCGAGGTCTAATTGAAAATAAACGAAAATTCGATGTCGTAGTGGTGGAACAATTTAACAGTGATTGTGCTTTAGGCATAGCATATAAGCTAAAAGCGCCTGTTGTAGGTATCATGTCCCATATTTTAATGCCATGGCATTATAAGAGATTTGGCATCCCTAATAACCCATCGTTTGTCCCATTCCACTTTTTGGAAGGCGGAACAAAACCTTCACTATTACAAAGAGTTGAACGAACAATATTCGACGTTTACTTCAATTTACTTTATCGCTTTAAAAGCCAAAGAAATAATCAACAAACGCTAGCAACATATTACGATGATATACCTCCGCTAGAAGAATTAGCTAGAGAGATAAAATTTCTACTACTGTATCATAATTTCATCCTTACTGGATCTCGGCTGTTTCCCAGCAACGTAATTGAAGTAGGAGGCTTTCATATAAATCAAAGCAAACCATTAACTGGCGTAAGTATGTAAGAATTTATTTATTCACACCTATGACGAAAATTGAAAAAAAATCTCAAACAACAAATTTAATATTACTTGAAAATCATTTAGTAGAGATGGAGATTTATTTAAGCATAAATGAGTATGTTTCATTTTAATACTCTAATTGAAATAAGATACCGCAGTTCGGTTTTCAATATGCGTTAACAGAGCGAATCTCTAAGACTATACAGCTAAAAATAGTAATCACATAAAAATAAAAGTAAACCAAATGACGCTCTATCATTTTAGTAGTACAAAATGAAGTAATCAGAGTAGATTAAAAATAAACGCTGAAACAGAAGCAAAAAATAATCTTAAATCAAATATAATCATAATATTTAAGAATACGATACTGCTGAAAACTAGCAATAGTGACATCTACACCACTTTCAGAGTTACCCCTAAGTATAAGACTAAAATGTGGAATATGTATCGGGAGACTCGGCAGTATAAACATATAATGTACCGGACATTGTCACTCTGTGTATTATCATTGAATTTACCAATGTCACGGGCGCGTAGTGCAATTAAATTAATTCTAGTTTTTCTTAATTACTAAGATCAATTGTAAGAGATTAAAAAAATGTCTAGTACGTTATATAACATAAGAAATAATTGTTATAAACCTGAACATGCACGGTTTCTCGATTCAATATGAATATACCATACAAATCAAGAAATATATAGATATTATTTTTAATAATTAATCATTATACTTAATTTAATAAGCCATTATACATTCATCCTACATCATATTGTACTCGCATTTACTCGCACATACAAGCACGTACGTACACACATTAATATACACATACATTCCTTCACACGCGCACGCACATTCACACACACACACACACACAAACGACCCACACACGCGCACACACAAGCGCACACACAAGCGCACACACACACGCACACTTTTATTTAATTTCTTATTGCTTTTTGTTTTAATCGCGTTTTTTCTGTAACTCCTGTAGAGGTTACCTGGAGGAATAGTCCTCTTGCCTTGCTCCCGATCAACACCCTAGGGAGCTGGGTGTAACTGAAAATCAGCGCTGCTTTAGATTTCGGTCTTAGCAGCATTAGCTGAGTTATTACCTTTTTTTTAACGTTGGGAAATGCATTCACGCACGAGGTGTGCGACTCACCGGCAAAGCCAGTACCCACTAAAACCCAACAAAACCTTCCCCCGTCTAAATGGGGCGTCGCAGGATCGCTTACGCATTCAACTACGACGCCCCGACGGCAGGTCTGCCGAAGCAGACCACCACAACCATGGGTTTGCCACAAGGTCCACTCTGCTATCAGAGAAGTACCAGGAGCAATCCGCATGGTACACCGCCCACCGAAGAGGGCCACCTCCCACCGCCCACCGAAGTGGGCCACCTCCCCGTGCGTTTCTTGGCTTCGCGCCCGGCTGGATTGCCAGGCATTACTGAGCCCACCACCACGACAAGGTGAACGCACGGTGAGGGGGAGTTATTACCCTTTGCCATAAATTACTTTAAGCTTTACTTATTCTGTTAACTTTTATTACTCTTTTTAAGGCAATAAGTATTTTTATTATTTAGTTTAATCAATTCAATATATTATTCATCATTTAAAAACATATAAGTATAGCATATTTATCTCCTAAACTACTGGTGCTAATTTTCAAAAGAGCGCCTGGTATACAAGGCGCAATTTCTATACAACATTGTTTCAAAATAGTATGAAAATCACTACGCATTTACGCATACCGCATACGTATATAGATGATTATGTGGGACATCATAACCCTGTAACAATATAATTGTACCGAACCGTTCCCTACGCGAGTCTTACTCTCACCATATTATATAGTACATTGAGTAACGTTAATTCAAAAATTTACTTATTTTTAAGCACTTGCAAAAATTTGTAGAAGAATCAGAACAAGGCATTATATACATCAGTTTCGGCTCTGTCGTCAAAAGTTCTACAATGCCAGAAGAGAAAATAAAGGCGGTTTTAGGAGCCATTGCAGAACTTCCATATAGGTTCATTTGGAAATGGGAAAGCAATGTTATGCTTATGGACAAAAATAAACTCTACCTTTCGAGCTGGTTGCCACAAGTGGATATTTTAGGTAAATTATTATTGGCATTTCTATTTAACTTTGTATTTAAGTAATTACTAAACAACAGATAAGTGTAATATAGTGATTTTTTGATTAGAAGGTAATTATTTTAAATTGCAGGTCATCCTAAGACACTTGCATTCTTATCTCATGCTGGTATGGGAGGAACTACAGAAGCTATACATTTTGGCGTGCCAATGGTAGCTATGCCGGTAATTGGTGACCAGCCTGCCAATGCGGCAGCGATAGAAGAAAGTGGTCTCGGAGTCCAGCTACAGATCAGAGATTTAACAAAAGAGAACTTGGTAGCAGCTTTTAAAAAAATATTAGATCCAAAGTAAGTAGAAATCAATTCGTACCTAGTCAGGATGTAAATATATATAAGCTATTTCATGGAGTAAATTGTGTGCACTGTGCGTTGAACATTTAACATAATATAAGTACATACGACGTATATGTAAGTATTGTTCTTTCTAAGTCCATCGCAAAACAGTTTCAACATTCAAGGAATCCTACTAATATTATAAATGTGAAAGTGTTTTTGTTTGTTTGTCGTTCTTTCACGTCAAAACAGAGTGACGGATTGTCGTGATTTTTTGTGTGGAGATAGTTGGAGGACTGGAGAGTGACATAGGCTATTCTTTACTCCGGGAGATTAACTCCTTCCCACGGGAAAACACGTTATAATACAACCCAAAAAAATATTGATGATCAGAATTACTTGAAACTTGGTATTAATACTCTTCAATAGAATTAAACACGTATTTTACCATTTTTCGAAGTTCATCCCATAAGGGGGTAAAATAGGGGATGAAAGTTTGTATGAAACCTACCTTTTAAGAGTTTTTTTTGCACTTTTAACGCAAGCGAAGCCGCGGGTTCTAATAGTATATGTATAATAGTAATATATATATAAAGAAAAATGGGATAAGAGTTTATACGAGCACATTATTATTTTTCAGGTTCCGAGAAAACGTAAAACTCTTGTCAAAGGCCTGGAAAGATCGTCCGATGTCACCTTTGGATACCGCAATATATTGGACAGAATATGCCGCGCGATATTCAAATTACACGTTTAGAAGCGCAGCCGCAGATGTTCCTTTGTACCAATATTACAATCTTGACATTTTGAGTATTCTAACAATCACATTACTATCTGTAGCGTACGCAATTAAATCTTTGCTTATGCTAGCGTGTAAGAGAAATAAAAAAGTTGATTATCAACATAGCAAAAACAAAAGTAAGAAAAAGAAAAAAGGTGAATAAATTCATGCAGGATTTTCTGAATGAAGACTTACTCGTTACTATGACGGTGAAGAAAAAAAATATTTTTAATAAATATTTTATATGAAATAAATCTCTTTCATTTTCAAAAAAATTGTAAGTATTTGTAGTATTACAAAAGCTTATAAGTTTTAAGATTTTACGTTTCACATCTCAAACCTTAGCTGAAAATCGCAACACAACTTTAGTTAAGCATGAAGTATTTTTTAAGTAGCGTTTAAGAAATAAATTAATTAACAAAACGTATAATATTTTATGTTAGGTATATACTAAAAATAATAGAATCTTTTTAAGTGATTCACAATCAAGGCAGGCCAAAAAGAAAATTTTGTTTCAACTGCAAGAAAAGAAGATAAAACGTCAATTTTTGATCTTTAATATTCCAAACGGTCTAAAAATGCTTACCTACATACAAACTCACATATTCCTATAAATTATGTCTAATCATATCTATAACTAAAAATAATAACACAAAACTAAATTTCTGAGATGGACAAAATGCCGAAACTCACGATGAGCCATACACCGTAAATGTCAGGTAAAACCAGTTCAAATTTTAATTATTATTGTATGCTTTGATAGTTGATACTATCTTAGATTTACGCGAATATTTGACATTTTAAATAAACGTCGGGAATCACAAATCAAAATAAATCCACGAAAAAACAGAAAAGATAGTTTTATTTATTAAAATATTGGATGCTTTATTTTTATTATAAAAGAAAATAGAGTCTACCTACATGTGTATATGAATCGTCATAATTTTTTTTATAGAAAATCCTGGCTTACAAAATGGCGTGTTGCTGTAAACCTGGTCAATGTAAGTTCTCTACCATGTTATTTTAATATCACACTCTACTATCATAAATGCGAATGTATGAATATTGTAACTCTTTCACGCTGAAAAGTCTAGACGGAATAGGATAGGAGTAAATTTAGTACAGAAATAAACTATGGCCTGGAGTAACACATAGACTAATTAATACAAGGCACCGAGGGACGCACCCAAGTGAAGGAGGTTAAGTTGCTAGTTATCTACACATCTATACAGATGAATAAAATTGAAGTACATCTGTTTGTAATGTCAATATACTTACTAGGTACTTATAAACTCATTTTTTTAATTTTTGTCTGTCTCTTTGTTCCGGATAATCTCTAAAACGGCAGAGTGATTTTTACGGGACTTTCACGGGAAGAGCTGATGTTATAGAGACTAGAGAGTAGTAGAGAGAGAGAGTAGTAGAGCCTATGTAGGCTACCTACTTTTATTTTAGAAAAAGAATTAGGGTTGCGCTCAAAAAAATTAAAACGTACGTTAGTACAGGACGAACCCGAGCGAAGCGAGGGCGAGTCGCTAGTTAAATATAACATACCAAATAAAAAATGTATGTTTTAGCCAATAAATCTTCAGTCAGTTGCTTAGGAAGATGTGATCTACCGAAACATCGCTGCTTGCGAAAGGGAGAAGTAAAACCAGGACCAATCCCAAAGCATATGGGATGGCTTTATACGGCAAAAGATGCACCTGAACATCAGGTCTGTTCGGCTTCTGCATGGCGCATTATTTATAATCTTGTACATCTAAAACGTTTAACCGTCAACAAATAATATAAGCAAAATTGAAATACTGCGTACATTTTAGAATGATAAGTACTTAACCACTTTGTGAAATGAAATGTTTTTTTTATATCGCTACAAAGACTTCTAGTTATATATTTAATATTTAAATAATATATAATTACGTAATAAATAGTAAAATAAATAACGAAAATCTGAAAAACCTCGTTCGAGACAGATCTCAATGCTGGGTACATTGTCTTGAAAGATGTCAATATATACTCAATGTAATAATGTATATCATTGTTCATTATAATATAACTTATTCTTATTTATTTTGATTTCATTTAAGTTACGATGCGGCTGGCGCCCTGGACATATAGCTTGTCCAGTACTCAGAAAAATAGAGCAGCACAATTGTATGAAAGCTAGCGACTGTACTCCATGCTCATCTACATGCGCAAAGCCTTGTACGAAGCCATGTTGTAACCCACCCAAGTGTTTAGCAGTTTGCCCTTCATCCACATCTTGGTGCAAACCAACTTGCACAACTCAACCACAAATAAGGATCATACGACATGGAGGCCAATACCGAATATGCACAAAACCTTCAAACATAAGCAATGCACCGTCTGGGCCTTATCCACTAAAATATGTGTTAAATGCAGGCGACGACGATAATACTAAAAACGCTAAATATAGTATAGAAGCTAAATTTAATGATTATCATTTTGATTACACAAGTTCTCAAACTTCTTTCGTCATAGACTTTTCACCTCCAGAACCAAAATGTTTTAAGCCATGTTCAAAGAACAGTGCAACATGTATGACATGCCAATCAGAAAGTAACAAAAGAAAAGATCCTTCCAGGAAATGTTAATTAATTAGATGACTTTTATAAATTAAAGAATGTCTTAAAAATATTTATTCACTTATTTCTTTGATTTTGTACTAAATATTTACACAAATTATTAAATAAACATAATGTTATCTTTAATTCTCATTTTAAAAAAAAACCCCTAAGAGTACAAATAATACACTATATTGTAATTTATAACTATGCCAATAGTTAAAATAGGTAAGAGTAAGACCCTATTATCTGAATCTCTTTTATAAATTATTAGTCAGCACTTAATATTCTGTTTATTACAATAAACAAAATTATTATGGATTGTTGTTGTTGTGGAAAATATAGAGTCCTGGAGTTAGTTTTAAAGATAACTACGCTTCAACGGTCATGAACATGCCAGCATGGCAGTTAGCAATAGATTTTCTGGAAACTAACCACGGAGGCGTTAAAGTTAAACTGGGATGTATCAGTATTTTTCAAAGAGTTACTACTATTTTTATATATTTTATTTTCATAGATTTCATAGGCTTACCTCAGCAATTGGAGTATGTGTCATAATGTATGGGCATTTTTCTTGAGGTACAATAATGTAAATATCAAGTTATGTTCAACAATATTTTTATTTTGCAACAGTTAAACAAAAACACTAATTTAATAAATTAAAACTAACATTAGAAGGAGATCTTAACTTGGGTTACCAGATTTCTGAGCTAATGCTAACATATTCTCATTAGCTATCATCTGGAATTCATGGAATCTTTGAGATACTCGCTGGTTTGTTCTCAAATATTTCTCCATACAATTAACTGTACATTTATCCTGAAATCGGAAAAAGTATTGATCTATACATAAAATTGTAACCAAGCCGAATCTGTACATTAAATATTTTTTAGAAAATCTTATTGAAATAGATATTATTATCGATACAGAGGCTGAATCTATAGTTTTTAGAATTTTTGTCTGTCTGTCTTTCTGTCTGTCACCGCATCACAGAAAAACCACTAGAGGGATTTTGATGAAATTTGGTATGGTGGTAGCTGTTTATCCGGGTCAACATATAGGATACTTTTTATCGCGGAAAAATATCTCATTTCTGAGAAAAAATACAAAAACTGCATTGTAAGAGTACATTATATGTAAAACCTAAGAATTTGTTTGTCAGTCATGTGAACGCAGGCGGAGCAGAGGGCAATGCTAGTTATACAATAATATATCAAAATGACAATGTTTGCAGATGTGTTATAATATGTTTGTATCTATACTAATATTATAAAGAGGTAAAGTTTGTGAGTTTGTGAAGTTATAGGGGGAAATCTCTGGATCCACTGAACCCGATTTAGATGAAACTTGGCAAGAAGATAGTTCGAGACCCTGGGAAGGAAATAGGATACTTTTTATTGCTAGGGACGAACTCGAGCGAAGCGAGGGTGAGTCGCTAGTTTAATAGATATTGGTTTTTCTTTACTATGAGAAACGGATATTTATATTACCAATTTCTTACCTCTGAAGGTCTAAGATTTCTTGATGTAAAATCATGAATACAGTCATTAAAGCAGAGTTCTGATAGTTTGTTATATTGAACAAGAAAATCTTTAAACTGAAAAACAAAACAAATTATATGAGTTCAATTGAAATTCAAATGGTTCGTGTAATATACACACGGCTGCTGCGTCGCCAGTTCCTTTAGTTACGAATATTGAATAGGTACTAAAAAATGCAGCAATGATTCGTATGATTATAATTTTGTTAAATACCGTCTTTAATTGTTCTGCTTCGCTCATTTGTGGTGTGGTCATTTTAACTGTTTATGAGTGAAATTTAAATGAGTTGTAATTTTTTAATTATTATTTGTTAGTTCAATAATCACGAAATAAATTTTGATAACTTATAATTACTCCGTAGACAAAAAGTAAAAACTATTTTCAAGTTAGAAAATTTAAGAAAATCCTAACCTCAAAAATAGGAACTGTGTTGCCCGTATAGAAGTAGAATAATCAATAATAGTTACCAGTAACCACAGACCAGGAACAACAAAAATTATTAGGTACTATTTTATCTAGGCAACTTAATATATATCTTATCTCATCTCATTACTAACGAGCTACTCGCACACCTACCGCAGGCGCAATCTAGGGTGTAAAAGTGGGGAATTGTAATGTGTATAGACAAGCAGGGGCAATTTCTTAGATTGCCCCTGCCGCCCTGAACGTTGGCACCGCGTGTGTAGCACGATCGGGGCAATTTCTCTATCTGACTATTAATATTTTCACAGTGTAGCCGCTTAGGGGTTTTCCCCTCAAATTCAGGGGTAAAAAATTGCACCGGGGTTTTAGGGGGTTTTTCTTTAATAGCATGACATGATAGTTTTATAAAGTTTATTTTAAAGACTTGTAAAAATCATAATCAATCCATCATCTTTAAATATCATTTGCATTATTTATATAGTTATCTATGAAATTAATTATTACTATTATTAAACGGTAATATATAATTATTATAATAATAACCATAAATAAGTTTTTTACGCTACTTGTAATCATTTAAAATAAAAAATATAAGAAATGAAAAAAAAGGATAAGATAAAACCTACACTTGTTGGCAGCAATCTCTTTTGATTTTTTTAAAATACTGGGACCATTCTTAACGCGTGTGCTTAGCTCAACTTCTACCCGAAGATTGAATATTGAATAACAGGCATGTGTGTAGAGACAGCCCGATGACCGCCATGCTCCCTAGATTGTCCCTGCAGAAGGTGTGTGAGTAGCCCGCTGTAGTCACAGAAAAATATGAGTCTATAGAGTTGCCCACTATTAATAATTAATTTATTGTTTTTTAATTTATACACAAAATAATCAGTATGAAGTGTTGCGTTGAAGTTAGTAATTTTATGCAAAACGTTTATATAAAATTTTAACTAGGACGAGCAATTGCGTCAGCAGAATCTAAACAAATAATTTATTTAACATCGAATTTCCAGCCTTTTATTTGTTCAAAATTTTTGCTTGTGCTCTGCTAGCACAGACTGCTTTAAAGCATTGTAGCTACACTCGACGTCTCGTGAAACACAGAAAAGTTAGCTCTGAAAAGAGCTGTTGGTGTCGTAGGAAACAGGAATAATCAGCTCTGAAAAGAGCTATTTTATTGTCTGTACAAAACAAGGAGTAGTTCTGAAAAGAACTGTTTTACGAGTCAAATACCTACGCTAACGTGTAGCAAGACTACGTCCGGCGCGGCGCGAGTATTCCGACTTTATATATGTAGCAATATACTCTATGGTTGCGACGCAAAATGGCATAAGACGCTCCGCGCGCATTCATTTCCTGGATATATGTATTTATATCTTCATCGATCCGCGCGAGATCACGCAATTGCACGATTTCCCAGAATCCAAGACAGCAGAAGATTCGTGCTATTTTTATCTTATTCATATTTACAACCAATCATATTTAAATAATTCTAAGATTTTTATTTGTTAGTGTAATTTTCAAATTATAATTATTTTAATGTATGCATTTTTATTGGTCAATTATTGTTTAAATTTTTACAATAAACATTATATAGTCTGATTTTTAATTCCACGGAAATATGACAGCTATCATTCTTTGATAATTTAGATATCATAAACCTTTTCTGCTTTATATTTTTTTAATATATAATAACAAAAAATATAAAACAGAATTACCATAATGTAAATACACATACACAATAACCATAATGTAAATTTTTTTAATGGTTAAATGAAAAAAACAGAGTAAAACAAAATATAAGAAATGAAAATATTTACTAATCATTATTACTTATATCATCCTTGTCGTCATCATCTATTATAAAAAAAACACTCACACTATCTATCAGATCATTAAGAGGGCACATTTTATCCTTTTCTTTTATAATATGGTTTATGCATTCTTGCCAAAAACAATAATAAAAAATCGTGAACGATCGTTGTGGACCTGACTTTTTGGGATTTTCCAATTCTTTTTGCCAATTGCAAAGATTTTACAAACAAAGGCGTTTTCCTAAAAAAAAAGGGTTGCAACCTATGTATTATTGAACAAGGATTCCTGTAATAGAAAAATAATTTCCTTAATAATTATTCTAACTTCGATAATATGATAATAAAAAAATAAATTCAAGAAAGGTTTATATTTTATTTTGCTAAAATGCTTTCCGTTTTTAGTGACAATGTTTCAAAGCTGACAACATTTCTGAAATGTCAGAATTCCGCCGAATTAAAAATCAAAAATATAGGTACTCAATTCTACGGATTCTACTAATTACAAGTCATGGATGACAAATTTACAAGTTTCATTTCTAAATTCTAAGCCCCTCAACTTGTAAAGCATGAAAAAAATAACGTCACTGTCAAGCATTCTTCAGTGTTCAGTCTTGATTCTTGACAGCTTTATTTTGTCATCCATGCTTGACAGTTTATTGTTTGACAAATTATTTGTGGTGTTGTTTTCAGCTAAAAATATTATTTATAGAATATGAACGAAAATGAGGATGAAATTTCGACATTCTGTGATTCGGCAGTATGTATTTTTAATCTTCAATTATTTATATTTATTATTAAACTTAATTAAAAATATGTATTCTTTACTAAAGGCCTCCTTGGTGGAAGGATGTCGTTTACCAGTTCGTATGCAGGGTGGCGATGACTGGCCCCTCGCAGAAATCATAAGTATCAAAGAAGTCCGAGGAGAAAGAGAATATTATGTTCATTACGTAGATTGTAAGTTTTCGCTTTATGTTTGTACTACACATAAAACAAACACTAAAATATGAAGAAAATAATACATTATTTAAAGAAGAAACACATATATTTAAATATAATCAAGCCTAATTTCCTTAATGTTATCAAAAAACTTTTTAAGTAACATTAAATGTTTAAATGTACTTTTAAAACGGTTACATCGATATGTTAACTAGAAAAAACTTAATAAACAATAAACTAAATTATTAAGGCAAGAAGTATTTTATAAACTACATATGATTACAATAAATGTATATTTCTCATAAGTATATATGTTAGTTTTAAGGTATATATTATGCTATGGGCCTCTGTTTACATATTTAAGATCTTTTTGTAGATATTGCCTGAAATAAATGATTAAATAAAAAAAAAACAAAAATAAGTGTGTACAATATTTCTACAGTTAATAAGCGTCTTGACGAGTGGGTTGGAGAATCATGGCTGGACACAAGAAAGGTGCAGTTCCCAAGACGAGATGGGGCACCAACTGGAGGCACTACTACACCAAAGAAAACTCACATTGGATCTGGAGGTGGCGTCATGCCTAATTTTATTAGTATGTGTGTTTTGCTATTAGATATTTTAGTTGATTGGCGAAAATTTCTTATGTTTCTTTGATTTAGCTTGGTGGCTGAGCTAGTGTTGTTACTAATTTAGTTCCACCTCCTACCCCTCATAAGGGGTTTTTTCATAATATATTATTTTATGTATAGTTAATTATACCTCTATTTCTATTAAGAACCACTGACTAACACTATACATAGTTGACATTTATTTAAGCAATTACTACTTATACAGAAAACTGCTATTATCAAAAGATGTGGGATTAATCAAACATCAAATAAAATCTTATAATATGTATTGTAAAAGTATAAATCTAAACCAGATTGTATAGTATTTATTTTAAAAAATATACAATTAGCTTCGATTCATGCTGAACATCTTTGAATTTCTTTCTTTTAAAGAATATTTAATAACATTGCCCCTATTACAATTTTATTATATTGATAGATGATTATTTAATCAAAATAGAGTGTCAGCCTACTTTTTATTAGTGTTAAATGCTTAGTATGTTATGTAGTGCATTTTTCCGTATTTATTTTATGAATGTCTAATGTTGTACTTGTGGTAATATAGATTGTGTGAAATTATCTTATAAAGGCAAATTTACGTTTGTATTTTATATCTTTATTTAAATTTGCTTATACATAAAAATGGAAAAAGAAGAAAATAACCAAATGTAAATATACCTTAAAACATTATTAATTTCTTCATATTTTGTCTGCAGATGATAGTGTCTGCAGTGTTAGCGAAAATCAGAAATCCCTTAGCAATACACCTAGAGAAAATAATGTGAATGTGAATCATCAAACAACACCAAAATTGCCTGAGAAAATTATTCATAATGCACTCAATGGTTCCATACAAAAATCCATCCCTGGTATGTTTTAACGAATACATAATAAAATGTATGGTTAAAATATTTTCATATAATATTTCATTTAATTTTATACAATGTTTATTATATATGTATATATATATATATATATATACATATTCTTTTTTTATTTTATTTTTCAGTACTAATGTCTATATATTTTTAGTTCTCTGTTTTGACTACGGGGTTCTTTTAAAATATTATTTTAGATCTCAATAATAATGTAGGAAATTTAGATTATAATGCCTTTTCAATGAATAAAAAAATTTAACATAAATTTTCATACATATATATCTAATATATTTATTATAAACAACTAGCGACTCACCCTCGCTTCACTTGGGTTCATCCCTAGGTTGATTTTCCATACAAATTTTCAGAATTTATGTATTACATACATACAATTTACAAAAATCCATATCTTTCTTCTTTATAATAGTAGTGTATGTTGTCGGTTTTCTTTGATAAAAAATTAGGACATAAGTGAGAATGAGCATAGCATTAGTGGTTTAAGTACTTTACAATATATACCATTTACAGGATGCAGGATGAATTTTACATATGAGTGTTGATTTCAATGTGAAACAATAACTACTATAAATGACTTAAAGAAGCTATAAGGTCGATATTTGCTATATTTAACATAGTAGATATAGGGTACTGAGCTTTTTTTAAAATAAATAGTATTTGTATTGATAACCAATAAAAAAGAATCGCTACAGCACTCAAGTCGGACTTTAAATAAACTTGAGCTAGCTATCTTCCCATACTATATATTGACAAGACAAAAAGATTTGAATTTAGTATTTTTTATATGAAAAGATCGACATTCATAATTTCGAAGGTACCCCAGGTGAGCCTCGACAGTTAATATCTCGTCCAGCGAGTCCCACACTCGTCAACGACTCGTCCTCGCTTGTTAATGGCGGAGCAGTTCTAGCCGCTGCACTACAGAAGAAAATAAATAGGAAAAGAAAAGCAAACTCTTTAGAGAATAATGATGTGAGTTACTGTATTGTATGTTAAAGCTAGAGTATTTTAATATTAAAATATTTTAATATACAGAAAAGCCTGTCATTTGTTAATATTTGCTGTCTTATAAAAATAGTAAGGTTTTAGATATGACAGTGATAATAATATCTAATTGTATAATATGTAATCTAATAAGAATTTGTTTTTAGTGGTATGGATTTTACTGCTTACATTATTTATGCTTATACTACATAAATACTGCAAATTATTTGCAGTAATCACCCAAAGAATGAAAACTGAAAAGAAAATCTTTCCCTTTATTAATACTACATATAAATATTATGGCATAACAAAGTGCAAATTTTAGTATTTTATCTTTTCATTTCTTCTCTACTCTCTAATCTTTAATTTATTAATAATTTATGAACCCCAAATTTCATCATGGATTTTTTAAGAGTAGTCTACAAACAGTTAATATAATGCAATTCAATATATTTAACACATTTTATGTACTAAAACAACCTTTGGAAAACTAAATAATTGGAAACTAGCATGAGGTAGTACGTTTTAATTTTTTTGAGTGGAACCCTAATTCTTTTTTTAAAATTAAAATAGTCCTTGTTACTCCCTATAACATCATCTTCCAGAGAAAGTACCGTCAAAATCAGTCCAGCCGTTTCAGAGATTATCCGGAACAAACAGACAGACAAACAAACATTTCAAAAAATGTGCTTTTCTTATAAGTGCCGCGTATAATTTCATATGCATTTAGTAAAACGCTGTTATTTTGACATTATAGACAAACACTTCAATTTTATTTATCTGTATAGATAAAATAAAATGTAACATAACAAAGTTATAAAACCTTTTTCAATACGCAGTCGTCAACTCCTCAAACCGAAGCCCCGGAGTTGTTAGATGGGGACGTAGCAAGCGGCACGGCCACGCCCACGGCCAGGCCGCGCACGTCCGGCAGTCTGGTGGCGCATGGACACGATGATTTAGTTACCAGGATGAAGAACATCGAAATGATAGAACTAGGCCGACATAGAATACGCCCATGGTATTTTGCACCATACCCACAGGTATGATTGTTGGAATGTTCCGGTGTTTTACCCGACTGCGCCAGAAGAAGGGTTATGTTTCTCGAGTGTATCTAGTATAAACGGCCTGATGGATTTTAGCTTCAGAGTTGTTGTTAGATTTGTCTTAATTGTGAGAGTGACTGGGTATATCAAAGTTATAAAAATGAAAATGGGCGTTTTTTTGGCGCCATATTATGTCTGAACAAATTTTTTTTTCTCAAAACCTATTGAGTGCGATATCATAACCAAATGTTTACTAATGGCTTAAAAATATAAACAACTTATATGTTTAAATGTAATTTTGAATGAGAAATGTTAAAAAACAACAAATAAAAGAGTTTTTTTACAAAAATAAAAAACCCGACTGCGTAAAAAGCGAACTTAAAATATGAAAATAAGTTAACGAAGGAACATAGTATTAAGCAGTCGGAGCCATACATATGTTCATGTTTTATAATAGCTGTGGGACGCGCCTCAGCGAAGTAAGAGTAATGCCCGATTTCACCAACGTCACCTAAGTTTAAGGGAACCCCTAAGCATGGTTAGGGGGCTGTTAGGGGATAGTTTCTGTTTCAGCGACAGTTAGGGGTAACCTAAATATTAAAAGGTCACCTAAATTTAGCTGCTCGAAATATGGGCTTAAAAACGATCGCAAAACAAAATTTAATTTAGGGGCGAGTTTAGGGGACTTTTAAGCTAGGGATCCCATATGCAGGTGATAGCTCATGGGTTGTTGGTGAAATCGGGCATAAGTCTCTTATATTTGATATTTGATAAAAAAATGATATGACCTCCTCCTATATATTTTTGCTACAATTATTGCAAAACTTTATTTTTAAATAAACCTATTTTTTGGGATTTTTTCGCGGCTTTATTTTGATTGCTTTACAGCAATCATGATTGCAGGAGATAGTTTTATTTAAAATGTCAAATATTCGCGTAAATCTAAGAAACTCTTATCTATACATATAATAAAATTCTAACCGAGTCGGATCTGTACATTAAATATTTTTTTGAAAATCTTATTGAAACGGTCCTTTTTATCGATACAGAGGCCGAGCCTATAGTTTTTGGATTTTTTTCTGCTTGTCTGTCCGTCTGGGAACGCATCACGTTTGATATAATGATAGCTGTTTATCCGGATCAACATATAGGATACTTTTAACTGCGGGAAAATATCTCTAAGAAATCTATATTAAACGTTAAAATGTAAGTAGGGACGAACCCAAGCGAGTGAGTCGTTAGTGTGAAATAAATTATAATCATGTATTTATTACAACCTTAAAAAACACCTTCAATTTATATATATTATATACATTGAAGGTTTTACTTTGCCTACTATAATAGTTTTTCTTTTTGCAGGAAATGGTAACCTTACCGTGCATATATATTTGCGAGTTTTGCCTAAAATACAGAAAAAGTAAAAAGTGTCTAGAAAGACATTTGGTGAGTATTATATATTTTCAAATTGTTTGTATCGGCTGGTTTGCCTGTCTGTACATTAATGAGAAATTGATAAACTATGGATAATAACTAGTATTTAATTTTGTATCATATTTACGAGTATATTTAATATTTTTGAGTATTACGACACAAGACAGTTGTAGCTTAGTGGTAACGCCCTCCCTTGGGAAACCGAGTGAAGCGGATTCAAATCCTAGGTCTCGCACCTCTGATATTTTCATGTGTGAATCATTTTCAACATGATTACCACTTGTCTTACGGTGAAGGAAGACATAATGAGGAAACCCGCATGTCTGAGAGAGCTTAGCAACTTATCTAAAAACTTGTGAACTCCGCTACCTGGTGGACTATTGCAAGATTCCCCTTGAAAAGGGCATCAAATAAGGGCTCAATACATTATATATATTACACACCCATTACAGTCAAAGGTTTTAGGTTATACGAGTATTTAAGTAATCGTTAATATATATATTTTTTAGATAAAATGCAAACTCAAACATCCTCCAGGCAACGAAATATATAGAAAGGGAAGTATATCATTCTTCGAAATAGATGGAAGGAAGAATAAATGTTATGCTCAGAACTTGTGTCTGCTCGCCAAACTGTTTTTAGACCACAAGACTTTGTACTACGACACGGATCCGTTTTTGTTTTATGTTATGACTGAAATTGATCAAAGAGGTATGTTTATAGTATATAAACTCATTTTTACTCATGGCTCTGCTTGCTTCGATAAAAAATATCAATGTTAATGGTTCGTATGGTCTATAACATATTTCCATTTCGAATTTCCTTCGAATACATTGAGTAGTAAGACAGTAAGTAGCCCAGTGGCAATGCGCTTTCTTTGGAAACTGAGTGAAGTGGGTTCAAATCCTAGTCTCGCATCGCTGATATTCTTATGTGGGAATCATTTGCAAAATCATTACCGTTTGTATTACGGTGAAGGAAAACGTCGTGAAAAAACCTACATGTCTGAGAGAACGTAGCAAGTTATCGAAAGACATGTGCCGTCCACCAACTCGCACTTGGCCAGTGTGGTGGACTATGGCCTGATCCCCTCGTATAGAGGCCCGTGCCCAGCCGTGGGACGTTAACAAGAGCTGCATACCATTGAGCAATCACACTGTGAAGAAGTATAAATGCATACCCGCTCACAAACTATTGCATTTATAAAAAAATGTGATAATGTGCTCTTAAAATTCCGCAATTTTACTAGTTATTGAAGAATCTACAATTAATCTCATTTTGTATTGCATATTCATAGATACAGGTTTATATTTTTTGAATTTTTTTTTGTTATAGACAAAAAATTTTTAATAACAAAATGAATTTTGCTATTTCCATACTAATATTGATAATGTATGGTTCCCGCGGGATAGATTTGTTTGTGTCTAGAAACGAACCCGACGCGAAGCGAGGGTGAGTTGTTAGTTTTTCATAGTTATAGTACATGCATACTTATAAAATAATGTGACAGTTTGCGGATCAACGCCATCTATCGTTTAATATACTTAGAATGGCTGAATTGGAGCTGATCAATCTCCGATGTAAATATTTCTATAAAAGAATTATATTTGTTTTAGGTTTTCACATAGTGGGTTATTTTTCAAAAGAAAAAGAAAGCACAGAAGACTACAATGTAGCATGTATATTGACTTTACCTCCATACCAAAGAAAAGGATATGGAAAACTGCTTATGGAATTAAGTAAGTGAATTATTTATCCTATTTTAATTTAAAAAAGAAAAGAAAATAAAGAAAAGAAAGTAAAAAATGACGGTAACATGAATATTATTTTTGACTGCCTTCAATAAAGCCTCTTGTATGCAATTAATCTGTATTTTTTGTATGTGAAGTTATTATGGTTATAATTTTTTATGGTTTCAAAGACATTTCAAATAATTCCACCCCTAATGGAACAATAATTACTTTTTGTACTTGCTGTAGCTCTATGATATCATGTAAATAAGCATATGAGATATAGGATTCAAAATGTGAAATTAGATATTCCTTAATCTATGTTATTCCTTGATAATAACACAGTTGCTTAGCGAAATCGATATGCTAGTTTCAATTAAAAGTACTGAACTGATTTTGTGTAGTGATAACTTATTACTCGGGTCAACATTTAGGATACCTTTTAATTCAGGAAAATCTTTAATTCCCACGGAAAAACAATAACCGGTCCTGTCGAGTCGTCCTTAGAAATTTATATAGCTAATGCTGGCTAAACCTTAAGAGATACATTAAAATAATGTAATAGAAATTTGTAAGTCGTAATAAGGGTAGTAGAAGAATCAACTTCATATTTAATTTTTATATAGGTTATGAATTGTCGAAGTTTGAAGGAAAAACGGGCTCTCCGGAGAAGCCTTTATCGGATCTGGGCTTGCTTTCCTACCGAAGTTACTGGGCTCAAACTATTCTAGAGATACTCATAAACATCAAGCCCATGGTCGATAATGAAAAACCTGTCATCACTATAAAGTAAGTTATCTTATGTACATCTATACTAATATTGTAAAGAAGCAGTTTGTTTGCTTCAATGAGCTAATCATAGGACCTACTAATCCGATTTGAAAAATTATTTTTGCACTAGACAGTCCGTTTATTCAGGAAGGCTATAGGCTGTATATCATATAATATATTGTCTATTTTTTCTATACTCACCGTTAAAACGTATCTAGGGACGAACCCCAGCGAAGTGAGGGTGAGCCGCTAGTTCTATATAATCTGCGTCATTACATTTTAAAAGCTGTTAATTATTATATTTTTGACTAAAGAATTAAGTAAAATTATAATCATTTGGTTTAATTAAAATTAAAGATAATAAAAATTAACGGTTGGCATTTTACAAAAAAAATCTGATACCAACACCTCACATAATAATATATCCTCAAGATTTTCGATACAAATATTTTAAAATGTAAAAAAAGGGTTTTTAGATTTAAGAAACAGCTGACTTCATAAAAGGCGGTGCTCTATTTGGGTGTAATATTTTGTGTATATGTTACGTGACGAATACGACGTTTGAGAACCGATTTCGTGACGTTATGTAATAAAAATTGTATAATAATAATATAATATTCATTAGAATATTATTATATGTACTTATATAAATACAAGTTTTATCAAAAACTTTATTCCTAATTCTGGAATAATTGCTTTTAAAGTTATTTGAAAGTAACAAAAATCATAATTATTTAAGTCAAGTTTAAGCACTATTTTTCCCTATTAGCAAGATGTTTAATGCAACAAATATCAATATTACACATTTTGAACTTGATGTTACGGCTATGAGAAAAAATCTAAATAATATTAATTAGAATATATGTAAAATATCTTAAAATAATTTAATTATTATTTCTTTTTAGTGAAATATGTGAATTAACTAGCATTAAAAAGGAGGATGTTATAAGTACACTGCAAAATTTGAACCTCATCAATTATTATAAGGGACAGTATATAATATCTGTCAACCAGGTAAGAATTATATATTAATATTTTTCATCAATTCTTTATGTATGTATGTCTTCGGCATGCTCTTTTCAAATTATTAGATGTAATTAATTTTAAGGTTTGTTAGATTGGTTTAAAGATGCCGTAATATTGTATTAGTACAGATGCCTTATCCCATGCAAAAGGACAGCGCTAATTCGGGTTATTTTTTGGGCTATTTTTGTTTGCTTGAATTGATAATAGATGTCAATCCGCAAATGGTCGATCTGTTTTATTTTTTAAATATGTGTAAACTCAAATATGATAAATATGGTGAAATTCATTCTGAATTTAACTAAACGAATTTTAATAACTAACTGTTTCTAATCGCCATTAACAATTCATCCAACTCAACTCATTCGTCTAACTCCATCTGTGAACGTGTACTACAAATCGCATTAACTAATAAGGAATATGCGTGGTTTCTTTTTAATTTTTTATACAATAGCTTACATCGTTATTTTTTGTAAAAAAAATATCCAGCTCCGAAAAACTAAAATTTGGTAAAAAAAATAAAAGTTGAAAAATATTATACTTATACGGATACTTTAAACACCCGCCATTTTGCGCGCATGGCCTGACGTTATAATCTATAATAACAGAGTCAGTGTTGCCAATTTAGCAATTTGTAGCGACTTTTTGATAGCGATAAAAACCACAATATTGGCAACACTGGCTCTGTTATTATAGAATTTGACTTAACATTCGGTCTGACCAATGGCATTCCGTTTCAACTGATTTGAATTTCTACTTCAAATAACTGAACTTAAAACACTATATTTTTTTTAAATTTGCGCTTTAGTATTTTGTATTAATCTTTCTTTTTTTGTAAATTTCTAACAATTTTGTGTCAATTTCATCATTTAAACATTATTTTATAGTTTTATATTATTTATTATATTACAGGATACAATTCAGCAACACGAAAAGGCAATGAATAAGAAACTAATAAGAATCGATCCTAAATGTCTACACTGGACGCCTAAGGACTGGTCAAAGCGCGCGAAATGGTAACACTAAATCGTCATCTAACATGATTACTATTATCATTTAATTTTTATTTTTCATTTCTAAAAGAAAGCTTTAGCTCATATAATAGAATGTAACAGAATATTATAATATTGTTTCTTTTAAAGATCTTTTTCTTTTGTTACCAGTGTTTGAATCGGAGATGCGAGATCTAACTCGGGCTTCGACACGTATGACTCATTCTGTATCTAACGTACTCATAAATGAATCCAATTATTGTAAGAAAAATTCTCATTTAAATATAATTTATTTTTCAATTTATCTATTTTACAGAAAAACAAATTAGCTAAATCGATATCTGTTTTGTTAAAAAATCGATTTTACATCACTTATGTGATTATTTTATTAATTTTAAACATTAATTAGCCAAAATTGAAGTTAATTAAAGTTTTATAGTAAATAAAATGAAAATAGCATAAGATTAAATACTTACATGTTTGCGTCATATTTATACATGACTATATGAAAAATATGACATCATATTACTCGTATATTATTCATAGCATAAAAATGTCTATAAATTTTAATGGACTATCAGAGTTTTTCCTATAATAATCGGAACGTAATTGCTTAATCATTTAACAATAACATCGCTAACGAAGGCTTTGGGCGTCATACATTTACTAACACTATTTTGGCAATGCACACGATTTGATATGTTTATTTATTAGCTTTTTTGATTATTTAAATGTTTATTAATAAATTTTAATATTATGATAATATATATTTTTTGTGTCGAACAAAATAGTATTTGGATAGTCAGTCAGTCAGTATGTAACTTTTTTTAATAATTTTCCAACAATTAATGAATTTTAAAAAGTTTATACCCGTAATATTAATAGGTTTTCTTATATAACCACCAGTGTTTAAAAGAGTTTTCAAGTACGACTTTGTTCTTTAAATTTCTAAGAAAATATTATTTTATCCTATTAGTTACTTTGAATGTTAAAACGAATAGAAGTTAAACAATAAAGAATTTTGCTTTTAACGACGATATTTCTAAAATCCTACATTTTTTGTATTACTATACCTACATTTTTTGTATACTATATACTATTAGTCAATCTGTAGTCGTAATCAAAAAAGTCTTTATATGGATATGCAATATGAATTTTGTTTAGACGATAGACATTCGCACAATGTCTCTATACATTTAGATAGATTTATTGCAAGTAAATGTCCTAGCTACCTTTCTGATAAAATAAATAGAAAGATACTTAAATCTTCTTCTTGTTCCTGCCCATTTCCCAAATTACTTGGGGTTGCCGCAGTACGTCTACCATCCCCCCCAACGTGCGTTCACCTTGTCGTGGTGGGGGGGCTCAGTAGTGTACTCGCGAAGCTAAGAAACGCACAGGGAGGTTGCCCACTTCGGTGGGCGGTGGGAGGTGGCCCTCTTCGGAGGGCAGTGTACCATGCGGGTTGCTCCTGGTACTTCTCTGATAGCAGAGTGGACCGTGGAGCAACCCCATGGTTGTTGTGGTCTGCTTCGGCAGACCTGCCGTCGGGGCGTCGTAGTTGAATGCGTAAGCGATCCTGCGACGCCCCATTAAGACGGGGGAAGGTTTTGTTGGGTTTTAGTGGGTAGTACTGGCTTCGCCGGTGAGTCCCACACTTCGTGCGTAAATGCATTTCCCAACGTTAAAAAAAAAAAAAAAAAAAGTACGTCTACCATACTGCTGATCGGTTTTGGCAAAAGTTTTACGACCGGCCGCCTGCTTGACATCAACCCTCTTTGGGAATCAAAAAAAAACTTAAATATTAGTTAGAATAAAAACATTATTTTTTAAATATTCAAAATAGATAATAATATTTTTTCTCCATTATTAGCTTCTGCCTGCGGTTTCACTCCTTCATTCTCATTTGTTTTATAGCTAAACAAACTCGTCCGCTATAAACAACAACAACAAAATTTATTTTAAATTAATATATAACAACATTTATTAGATGTATCTAATAAATGATTAAACTGTTATGAGATTATGTACTTTTGCGTTATTATTTCATAAAAACACAGCTATAATTTTAAAATCATATTCCACCTTTATTCACGTAAAAAACGACAATCAGCCAAATGGACAAACCTTCAGTCAAACAGACAAATATTTTAAAACTTTATTTTTAAAATTTTACTCTTTATAATATATCCCAAACCCTAAGTAAGAATAGCCTACAATATTAATTTCTATGTATAATCTATAAAATTATAGTGACCTATTTTTCATTTATAATATGATGGCAGTATATTATAATACATAAGTACAGATACCCCATCCCATACAAAGAAACTGTTCCTTGATTCGGGTTATTTTCTTAGGTTATTTTGTTTAGCTAAGTAGACGCTAGATGGCGCTGTAAATGAACTTTAAGTTCTACAAATGCACCTAACTTTTTTACTAAGTAAAAATTAAAACACTACATTTATATCTATAATAAAGAAAACAGAGTTAGACAACTCAGAAAATGCAAATAGCAGTAATGTATTAATATTCTGCATAATTTTTTACTAAGAGATAGTTTTTTGTTTTTCATTTGATTGCTTAATATGAAGGTTTTGAAAATATTATAATAGCTAAATCAATAACATTGCACATTTCTTGAACGTATTCGAATAAATGTATATTTTTTTTGTAAAAAGATACAATCATAACTCTTTTCTATTTTTAATTTTACATATTTTTTTTATAAAAAAATATTAATAACTAGCTGCTCATTCGCGCTTCCTAGGATCCACGTCCCTAGGTTAAGGTTTTAACGGTTAGTATGGAATAGATAAACATGATAAGTTTTATAATCTTTGAGAAGTAATTGATTCCCTGTACAAACTTCCAATCCCCTTTTAATATCCTTAAGGGTTGATTTCCGGGGTAAAACTACCCTATGTCCGTCCTATCCCTATGACACTATCTCCATACCAATTTTCATCTCAATCGGTTCAGCCGTTTAGTCGTGAATAGGCAACAAGCAGAGTTACTTTTGCCTTTATAATATTCAGTAAGGATAAATTTACTTACAATTTCATGCACTGACATGCAAACAATTTTTTCTTTTTCTCTGCTAAGACCCCATTCCGTTACACGGAAAAAGGTATGTCCTTCAAAGAAAACACCTATACCTCTATCGATGTTTCCATAAAACTTATTGATTTAATTGGTCACTATAATTCTGCCGTCATAATAAAAAGGCCCTAACTAACAATTTGGTTAAAAATAACTAAAATGCAGATTCGGAACCTGCAAAAGAATGGTACTTGATAGTCTTACTCATATACCTCTAAGTCTTATGAATCCGGAGATACCATAACCATTTTCATTGTAACTACGTCAAAACTACTACTAAGTACTAACTACTTTACAAAAAATTAAATATCTCGAAATCAACTTTGACATAACTTTTTTTATAACGGCAGAATTCCAATAATATCGCAAAGTATAATTAATATCTTTACTAACATTTTTATATTTGTAGTTTTTATATTTTTATTCATTATTAATTTTGGTGGGTTTTGATTTATGCTAATTCATATATTCATGGAAAGTACTTATCGTAGAACATTTATATAAATATATTGTATGAAACATGTGTAAATTTTCTAAATGTATATCCATTTGTATTGTTTCTTTTATTGCATTTTCAGAAAAGAGTGTTCTACAAAAAGTACACAAAATTCAATAATCATTTATTACACTTTTTGTTAACTATTTTATTTGAATTTCAGGTAGAGATTATTGGAGTGAAGTTACACAAAAATTAAGAAATACTGATTGTAGTACATTACATTTGCGAGAAGAAAATAAAAAGAAATACGATCTTTCTATTTGAAACAGTTAATATTTTTAAATATTGATAATATCTTGTAAATTGCGGTCTCTTTATATTCACTGATATTTGGTCCTCATGCGTTTGTATATTAGGTAAAGTATAGATACAATTTGTGTAACTAAGTCCATGTATATTGTGATATTAAATAAATATCTTTATTTCTTAAATTGCTTTTCTTTGTCGCCTTTTCATATATATAAATGATAAATCAGTAGGAAAACTATGAATAAATTATCTTAGAACTATGGCAATATAATGAAGCCAAAAATAAGGCATCTGTCTTGTATATCGAGATGAAAAAGTATGATCACAGCGGGAATGGGGATGGTATTATATGTAACTAATTAATCTATACAGATAAATAAAATTGAAGTGTCTGCTGTAATGTGAAAATAACAACTATGTACTAAATACATATAAAACGCCTATCCCTATTAACATTGTCGGATATGCAAATTTGTCATTTTCTTTTTATTTCACTAATCACTCTTAAAAAATCTCTTCTTTTAGTAGCTGCAACAAAAAATATTTTTTACGAGTAGTTTTTAAAATAGCCTCAAGTAATTTTTGTTAACCTAAATTGTACATTTAAAAAAATATCAACAACTCAAACTTTGACGCACTCTCCTGTAAAGTTGCCGATTTTCATATCCGACATTGTTAATAGGGATAGGCGAAAAGTATATGTACGGTATTTATAATAAAAAAAATAGTTTTATAATTTTTTTGTTTGTCTTTCTGTTTGTTCCTAATCGCCGAAACTCTCAAAATCGGTCCAACCGATTTTGAAGGGGCTTTCATTGGTGCTGATATTATAAGGAGTAAGTTACGCTACTTTTATAAATTTTATAAATAGATTATCAATCCGCTCAAAAATAAACGTACATAAAGACACGGTAATGTTAAGTAACATTACCGTGATAAAGATGTCGCTAGTTATCAATTACGCTTCACAGTGCGCGCTCTATCTTTTTATATTAGCCTGATTGACTTTAATAAGTAATTTTTATTTTTGATAAACTTATAAAAGACTAGTATAGCAAATCTAAAACTCAAACTGAGTTCTTATATAAAACAAAAAAAGAGAATTATTTAACCATAAGAAAATACTCTTTCATCTCCTTGTAATATCTGCTTTTGTATTTAATTAAATATAATGGAAAGATATAAAAAAGAAACAGAATACTGCAATATATGATTTATTTTTCAGTAGATAAGCACAGTAATTTTGCTTCGATTGACAAAATATTTATATTCAAGAAGCAGGTACAAGTGATGTATAACAATTAGATATAACAATAAGTATTAGATAAAATTTCTCAATAACAACTTTATCTTTACACTTCTTGATATTAATTAATTAAGATACTTACAGGCTTTAAATAGACATAAGGCAGAATATTAAAAAAATATTTAAAAAAGTATACAACAATGCTGTATAAAGTTTACACTTAAATTTGAATTTTCAATGTACCTTTATAAACGCTTAATTTTTAAATAACATTGTTCCTGAATACAAAGACAAACTCTTTTTGCGTTTTTGTCTGCTGAGATAGCGTTATAATTTAGTGTTTTATTTAAATTTATTTATAGCTCGTTATCAACATTATGAAATGGACAAAAGAACATCGAAATATTTCGTTTTTCAAATTTCGAACCTTATTTTTTTAAACTTTGTGGCAATGTTATACATACATACATAATATTATTATTTATAAGTTATAGTATAAGAAATTAAATCGTTTAAGAGACACATTTTATAGTCATCACTACATATCTATATAAATTATGTATTGTAGTTATATAGAATATATAATACCAAAATATTTAATATCATTATTTATTATATAATTAAGCTGTCTTATTTACAGATTATATAAGATATATCCTAATATCTATTATTTGTATAATGAATTTGATGGCTTAGTAGCTTAGGCACTTATGGATACACTAGTCCATTTATAATCTGATAAAATAAAACAATTTTTAATCTGACAAACAAATAAAGTAATTACTAATTAGGTAACGCATTCAATACTTTATGAAATTTAACAAAATATATAACCTAAACAAAATAATATGATATAAAAAATGAAGATTATACCTCAACTATAATAATAGAATACTTTATACAATGATAAATTTTGTCATTGCTGTTTGTGTGCAAACATAGAATGGTTTTACCGTAAACGTTAGCACTTCTTTAGTCCTTTACACATCTTTTATACCCTACAAAGTTAATCTTAAGCGTAAGATCACTACGACGGTATAATATACTCTCAAGGTGAAGAGGTCGCAGTATATATACTAATTAATAAAATTTTCAATTCATAAGTAGGTATACTGTATACATAACAAAAATAGAAGCAGACATAATTACATTTTAAAATATTATTTTGTAATTTAGTGTAAAAGGTGCAAATGTCCAGATACTTAATATTATTTAAGTTGGAAAATGCAATATAATGGATAAATATATGCATAATTAAACAATCGCATTTTGAAGCACCTTTTACAAATCTACAAAAATAGCAACACTTTTTCTTAATATTTGAACAAATGTTAATTTATCACAATAACATAAAAATAAATGCTTGCGCGACTGGCTTTGACCATGCCGTTTCACGTTGGCAGCCGAAAGACTAGTTTCACTGGTTGTTAAAGGCACTACTTTGGAATAACTACGGTCTCCTAAACCCCTTTCGATTGCCCCATATTCTATTATGCACGTAACATATTTCCTTTTAAAAAATTTAAGTGGTGTCATTTTAAACTCTTCTTAATTTTATTGATTTAACATCATAGGCAAATGATACTTTCAGCAATGTTTAGCTGTATTTAGAATAGGCACTTTTCCGGATTTCATTAAATAACACTTAGTGTCTCTATCGATATATTACACAATAATCATTAGTAATTTAAGCTGAATATGCAGTATTTCTAAACTTAAGTAATTTATCCGTAATAAGTTATATTATCACGACTTATCCTGAGTTAAAGCGTCTTACATCTAAGCCTTATGCGAACAACGTTTAATGGAATATTCCAGTATCCCGATATAATAGATGAATATAATCTGTTAAATAAAATATACGGAATTTCAACAGGTATCTATAGTTATTCAGGTAGATATTAAACATTTATATTGTGATGCATTTGTTATTGATTTGGCGTCAGAAATAGCGACTAGACAGGTGGCTATTGCAAGGACGTAAAAGTTAAACTTTATCAAGAATTTCTATCTTACGTAGAACAAACCTATATTTGCACCAAAAATCTATATAAAAGCGGCGGTGCGATGGGAAAGTCTTATTTTCAGATACAACTTTGTTCTACAACGGATATAAATTGCACCATTTTTATAATCAGATCTAAATAAAATAAATATTTTGCACATATCAAAGCAAAATTATAGAACTTATGAAATATAACGCTGTAATGTTAGAGTTAATCTAAGTAAAATTAAAATAAAATATATACCTACCTACGATCAACTGTTTCACAGTTCTATTGAATGTTACTCAACAACGGTGCTTTTATTTCACAACACTTGAAACATTAAAACAATAAATTAATAGTATAGTGACATTGCAAGACCGCATTGCGGCGAATATTTAAATTTTTCACCAGCCCTCATATATAACGCGTTACACACTAATCTACGTTGTTGTTCTACACAGTAGACATACGATTTCGTTTCGAAATAATATCTTTCCGACGACTGACGTGACAAATCAAAAAAGATATGATAATATATCGAAAATATAACTAAATTTAGGTCTTTTTCATATAATTTCAAAATAATGCAATGATTGGGAGAATTATAATGCCAAAAATTTTTGATGGACCCAAGTTGCTAGTGCGTTTCAAACGAGACAGCCATCGTTTAGACTGTTAGTGAGCTTTGACTGCGTCTCTTGAATGTTGGAAGGGTAGTTATGACATTGCTGAGAGGACACGTAATTAAGATCCGGCTCGTAATATTCCACTTCTGGCTCGATCGGGCCGAGGATGGTTGCCTTCGGTAAATACCCGTCTGTGGTAATGTAACTGGCTTCGGAGTTAGGCGGAATGCTTAAAACACTGTCTGGTCGATTATATTCGTCTATATTTTGTGGGGTCAAATATGAGGTTTCCAGGGAAGATATTTCTATGGAATCGTTGATGGGTGTAGGACAAGTGTAGCTAGAAGCAAGGATATTTGCCGATTCGGGTCGGATGTATGGTGAATGGGCTTCGAATACGGGGAATGTTGTGGGCTCGTAAGTTCGTATAGCGTTGTACGGCGCTGTGGGGGATGTTCGAGCGTTGGAGTTGTTCTTGACGCAGGATGACGCGTGCATGGACAGCATGTCGATCAGTTGACGCTTCTGGACTTCTAGATCCTGAAAAGATAATGACACTATTATTAATACCTTTATTATTTTATAAAGTCATTGTCACTTTTTTCTGAAAAAACTTATGTGCTAAGCTTGCTTATCAGCTATCTTAAATCTACAGGTATACCTATTTAAATCGAATTTGAAGAATTTTAACAATGGCGCTCACTCACAAACTGTTAAATTTAGAAAATAAGCGTGAAATCGTACCTAATTAAAAAAGATAAAAGGATAAATTCCTTTTATTTTAATATTATTGTTCAAATGTTTATTATGATCTGGGCGTAGGTACTTTTAACAATGTACCTAAAGGTATGAATTATATGTTACGTTATTTATTGGCCACACATTTATGTAAATAAAGTATTAACTATGTTATTTAAATCCATAGACCATTTCAAATCTTACAAGTAACTATACAGTATACGATAAAGTTTTATGGACCCCATTCAAATAATAGATTATATTACCTAATTACGAACATAATATATTGGACATCCCTGGCAGGAATTGTATCCGTGATATTCAGTGCATAAGGTGCCAATTATGTAGAAACCCTACTACTGCTAGTCACGACTAACTTGTAACAAAATATATTTCTATATATATTTTAAATTTAGGTTTCACCTTATCGAAATTGGTATTTCTATTAACATTTAAATGAACACAAATGAGGGAGCCGATAACCTTGCATCCGTGTCGTTACATTTTACTTAGATAATACCTAAAAGTTTCTTATTTTTTTACACATGTAAAGACTATTTAATGTTTAATTTTAATTTATTTCATTAAATATGTATCTTCTAGAATAAAAATGAAATGTTAAAAACTTCATTACTTAAAAACAGCTGGACCGATTTGGTTATTTTTATCTTGAAATATTTTTTATAGTACGAATGAGGTTTTTACTTTAAGAAAAAGTCATTAGAAAATTCAGGAAAATAAAATTATTGGAATTTAGACAGAAAATTGACTAGCAGGACGGCAGGGTTGAGCAGTTTATTATAATTTCCCCGTTCTGAAATAATGCACGTAAACACCAATATAGTAACAATCTACACTAATATTATAAAGAGGAAAGATTTGTATTTCTGTATGTTTGTAACGAATAAACTCAAAAACTACTGGACTGACTTAGATGAAATTTAGACATAGGATATTTTTTATTCCGGAAATCATCCCCAAAGGGGGTGAAAATGGGAATGAAAGTTTGTATGGGGAATTAACCTAGGGACAAACCCGAGCGAAGCGAGGCTGAGTCGCTGGTATTTTATACAATTATACAAAACAGTAATTACCTTTAGTTGTGTTTTAAGATCAATGTTCTGGCTTTCCAAGACTTCACTCTCATTCACGAGGTTAACAGTTCTCTCTCTCTTCTTCATTCTGCATTTTGTTGCTGCTATTTTGTTCCTTTCTCTTCTTCGGCGTCTGCGTTCTTCATCTTCAGGAGTAAGCTATAAAAAAGACGTAATTATTTTTATTATAAGGCCGACTTGTTATCATAAAATTAACTTTTTGTATGATCATGCTAGCTAGCATTGAAATGCTAGCATTGAAAATATATACGTATTCTGAGGAAATATTGTGGTTTTTTTATTAAATAACCGATGTAATCATCAATATGAGAGCACATAGGTATCTACGTTATGTATTAACTTGGTTTATAAACTTTATTCACATCGTATATTGTTCCGGTAAAATAAAATCTATAAAATTCATTGCATGAATGAATCCATTAAATTAAATCAGTTGAGCGTTCGGAATGCATCGCTTCGTTCACAAACTGACTTTCAATGATAATAATTTCTCATCGTCAAGTCATCAAGCTTTCCATCGGGAAGTTAAGTCACGAACAGCCGCATTTGCAATACCGAGCTTCTTTGTAAGCTCATAAAACTTCAATAAGGCCGTTGAATTATAATGCTACCAGTCGCTATAAAACTAGTTTAGTTCTGATGGGCTATCTTCCTGACCTCAGTTCCTGGTAGAACCCTTATTGGGTGGCAATGATACCGCTATCAAACATTACATAATACATTACGTTGTAGTCTTGTATTATAATTTAGAGCTTTCTTTGGCGACAATATATATGTCAACGTCTTTAAAAAAACTAAAGCATTACTTAAAAACTAGTAATAATTTTGTTATAACAAATTTCAAACTAACAAGATAGTAATCGATTTAATTTTCGTAGAAAACATTGATACTAATCAACATGTGCTATAATAGACTTATATGATTGCTTATTAAAATATTTTTATTTACATTCATTAGATAATTGCTTACGTGAAAGTAAATTAAAAAATGTATTTCTTAAATTAAAATTACGTATTCTAATATTATAAAGAGGAAAAATTTGTTATTTTGTTTGCTTATATCGAATAGGCTCCGAAACTACTAAGCCGATTTAGATGAAATTTGGTAAGAAGACAGTTTGAGACCCTGGGAATAACATAGGATAGTTTTTATCCCGGAAATCATCCTTTAAGGGGGTGGTAAAAGTTTGCATAGGAAAGCAACCTAGGGACGAATCTTCTCACAATAGACCAGGAATGGTCGCAGTGACATGTAATAGCCGCAAAATAGAAATAAAAAAACCTAGGGACGAACCCAAGCGAAACGAGGGTGAGTCGCTAGTTTGTATTAAATTGATTGGCTATTAATTTTGATTCATGCCCGCCCTACTTATCACTAAAGTAAAGACAGACTAGCTCTATAAATACTCTTGTAACAAGAAACAGAAAACACAGGCAAGTTCACATAGCTACCTCGTTTTTAGGTGCTTGCGTATGACTGCTATCGTAGTCCTCGTCACTTTCTTCTTTCTTCATGCGCTTCACACCCACATCAGTATCGCTGCCCGACATCTTCCTTTTCGACTCTATCGACAGCTTTAGACCAGCTTTTATTAATTCCGAACACGTCTGGAAATAAATAATGGTGTGTTTACTCATTAACTATACATACATACAGTGTGCCTCACTGTATTTCAAATATGCCTATAGAATTCGATTGTTTGTTTGAAAGGGATAATCCTTGATGTATCTACTAATGAATCAATACTTTTAGTCTTATTGATAACTTTATTGTCCCTGAGTTACATAAGTTTTATTTTTATGGAAGCAAGCAAAGCCAAAACAAGTTTTTTTTAATAATAACAAATTAAAATGTTCACGATTTTAAATAAACTAATTTGATTTAAAAAAAAACGTACCAGCCTTATATCATTAAATTAAAACTCTTTTAAAAGTAAACATCGTGAGATTATTTTATTCTTAATCATTTTTACCTCGATCGAATGATGGTACCAAGGTTGTATACACACACACCCATGTACCTCCGCGTTCTATATTATACCTACTTACTTAGATAATGTGGACAAATGCAACCGTATTTTTTTTACTATTGTAATAAAGGTGTTCCTTTTTTCTCACATTAAAACGTCTGCCCATTGTTATAGTTCTATGCAAAAAAGAATATTTATTGAGTGTAAAATTGATTATACGGAAACACTTATAGCTGGAAAGAAGTAACTATATTGTTAGTAAAATAATATTTTTCATACGCAGAATTTCGAAAAAGATAGTTCTGCGACCTTTTGATTTTGTAGTAGGTAAGGTAATTTACGTTTTACTTTTAAATTTCGTTAGAAAAATCTTCATTTATTTGTTCTTGTGTTGGTAAGTCGTGACATTTAGGGCGGAGACACTTCAAACTTTACAAGTTTCAATGTCGTTAGAGTAAGAAAGGCGGACCTATCAAGTGATCAGACCTTTATCTTTGAAATCCTTTTAAAACGTAAGTAGGTACATTTAATATTTATATTTCCTTGTATTTCATATGATCTTTATAAAAACAGTTGCAGATGGAACAAAAATACAAAAATATATTGTATTGGGTGCTTGTTTTACGTGGTCTTAAAAAATAGCAATGAGAACATATTCTATTTAAAAGTCTTTTCTACACCTTTATTGTAAGTGTTTAGATTCAACTGGTTTCCATCTGCACCATAGATGAATTCACTTATATTTTTAAACTTGAAACTGTAAGCGGCAATGGACCATCTGCATGTGAGGTAATCTCATACTTGCAGACTACAGTGTATTAGATATTTTTTTACATCTTTCCACATGCTTCCTTTCGGAGTTGTTGAGAAGAACATATTGACTATTTCCGATTGACGCACATTTCAGAACAATATATGTTAGCACTTTTTGTTTGACGACACGTTTGGCTCAGTTTGTAGTGACTCTACTTGCTGTGCCAGCAGGCGCGGGTTCGAGTCCTGCTAGGGGCATTCATTTGTGTGATAAGCACAAATGTTTGTACTCCAGTCATTGGTGTTTAAGTGTAGTGTATCAACTATCTTTTATTCATAACACAAGCCTCGTGCTTACCATGGAATTAGATGGTGATGTGTGTTAATGCCCCAACATATTTATTTATTTATTATTTGAACTGAAAAAATTACGAAATCTAATTGTATGTAGGTATATAGTCATTTATATGGAAAAGGAACCCATGACTACCCTACCTACCTCCTACACTATTCAGACAATTCTGCTGTATCAAGGTCTTCGACTTAATCAATTTTACACATGAAATGAATAATAAAAAATATATTTTTAATCTAATCGAATGAATTAACAATAATTATGAATTACAAGTGAAGCAATGTAATTATGAAGCGTGATTTATTTCTTCCAATACCGAACATAATTAAATCGTTTTTAGTTGGTATGTATGAAAATCGGTTCCTTTTTATGAAATATCGTACTTGTCAAAACTAAATTTTCCAAATTAAAGTCCCCTGCCGCGTTAAGTTTATGTTTGTTCGGGCTAATCTCAGAAACTACTAAACGGATATACCTATTCATTATTCACAAGTTATTACTAATATGAAAAAGGGATTGTGTTAGAAGTTGTATGAAGTATGGAAACAATTGTTGTAATATTATAAATGCGAAGAGGATCTGTGGTCACTATTTTTGTATATAATACAATACCTTTTGTATACTAGGCGGAGTGCCTGAAGCTGGTGACGTTGCTGACGAACTATTAGACATCGAAGAGTTAGAGTCGTTACAGTTCACATTCTGCAAATGAAAAATAAGGCAAAGTTATTATACTAATATTATAAATACAAAAGTTTTAGAATAAATATTTGGAATAGAATTTTATCCTGGAATAACATACAGGCTTTTTTATCCACGAAACCACGGAAAACTATAAATTCTCGTCCGTGGGTGACTAACCAAAATTAGTATTATATACTATTAACTAAACTTTATATTTTATATTATTTTATTAGTAAAAGTGGTAATATTTATAATTTTTAAATTATATATATAATATATATATATATATATATATATATATATATATATATATATATATATATTATGTATGATTTAAATAAGTTTATATTGTAATTTATAAAACTCATAGCATTAAAGAATAATAAAATAAACTTTAGAAATTTATAAAAAACTATACATATACTTATACCAGTATAGGTAGTAGGAAAATAAGTAGGAGCTCTCTAAGTTATTAGAACGTTTTACATGTCACTGCTCCTTTGCTAAATGGACAAAGTATGTTCTTGACGGACGACATGTTTATTAAAGTGAGTTTTTGCGCGGTTTCGTAGACGTAATACATTCATTAAAATAAATAGAAATATCCAATAATAACAATACATCTAATTAAGATAAATCTGTTTTATAGCGTGTGGTACCGTCTTTAGGAGTTAACAACTTAGTAACATTAAACTTATATTAGTAACAGTGAGTTTTAGTGAACCCCAACGGTACCTTTTTTTTTTTTTAACGTTGGGAAATGCATTTACGCACGACGTGTGGGACTCACCGGCGTAAAACAGCCAGTACTACCCACTAAAACCCAACAAAACCTTCCCCCGTCTTAATGGGGCGTCGCAGGATCGCTTGCGCATTCAACTACGACGCCCCGACGGCAGGTCTGCCGAAGCAGACCACCACAACCATGGGGTTGCTCCACAGTCCACTCTGCTATCAGAGAAGTACCAGGAGCAACCCGCATGGTACACCGCCCCCCAAAGAGGGCCACCTCTCCCCGCCCACCGAAGTGGGCAACCTCCCTGTGCGTTTCTTAGCTTCGCGCCCGGTTGGATTGCCGGGCACTACTGAGCCCCCCCACCACGACAAGGTGAACGCACGTTGGGGGGGGACCCCAACGGTACCTACTCGCGCTATAGTTTTGATTTGTAAAACCGTTCATAGAAACTGAAAATGGATTTGATAAATATTCTACTGTTTAATTTTATATATACTGTTATTATTTGGAAAGAAAATTAATACAGAAAACTAGAGATCCTTTGAAAATTCTAAAAAGTTCTATAAATCAGTTTTCAATTAAAGAAATGATATTTAATACCACGTCTTATTTATTATGATATCTGATAAGATAGTATGTAAACTTTTATAAATACACATTATACTAAAATATTTGCACCTAATAACATATTATATCAATATAAAAAGTTTTCAAGTATCGACCTATTATAATAAACAACGTACGGACATGCAAATATAACAATAATATGTAACAATAATCACAAGATGTGTCACATCAGATTAGCCTTTTGTTCGTAACCATTTCACGCTCTACATTCCCGAGCACGTTATATAGGGACCTAATGACAATCATTTATAACATGAAGCGTTCGTGTAATAATATACAAGTACAAATTACACACGCAATGCTATGTAATTAGTTTACTTAATTGAAGATTCCTGGCGTCGGTCAGTCTGTTTCAGTGTCCAATAGGTACATGACCTCAAGTATACGGCGCTTAGAATTATCCAATATTTAGTATGACGACTAATGGTCACGTGGCGTTACGTGGCTAATGCTTGGCAAGCATTCAATATGCTCACTTTGCATTCGAACGAGCGTTTCGCGTGCAACAGACCTAAATACTGCAAGGATCTCTTTTGCATTTTGATCGATTTGCAAATTGAAAGTGCAAGGTTAGGAATTAGTTCCAATGTTTAAAAGTCCTATTCAGATTTGCCTGTGATTGCCATTCCATACTTGATTATTGCTAGGAAATTTCTTGAATAAGAACAATTTAGCACATTATCTTAAAAGCAAGTGGTATAATGCTTACTTATCTAGGTCATACCCACAATAAGTTTCACGGTCGCTTTAAGTCATTACATAATATACTATTTGTATTTCGCGTTTATTTATCTGCCAATATAAATGTATAATTTTATACATTGATGATTCGTTCGAGACGTGACCATTACATTACCTGCGAGGGTATTCATTACTTTATATTACAGATGTCAGAGATTAAAATATTATTCATTATATTTTAAATGAGAATTTTATCGGATCGTGTTAGGTATAGCTAGCGTACCTTGAAACTGTTGTTCTTCTCGTAATTGTACTGGTCAAGAGGGTTGGTCATGGTGATGACATCGTTGACGATCTCGGGAGTGCGCAGAGTGGTGGTGCCCGCGCCCTCTGCAGCCAGGAGGTTCATCATAGCGGCGCTTAGGTTGACGTTCACACTGAGGTATGCTCCTGGCTCTCCCTCCGTACCCACTGCGGCAGTCGGCGACGGAGAAGTATCTTCACATTTAATCGTCGGCACAGCTGAGCTAATGCTCGACGAGTTCATTATATCCTTGTAAGGAGCCAGTTTCGCTTCTTTTTGGTTACGTTTCGTACTAAAACTAACGGTTAACGCGTTAACTAAGTCTATATCACGATTACGCACTATCACTATGTCCTATGCTAAATATCACTGATTGTGGTAAACTGGTTCCCGATGGCACTCGACACTCCAGCTAGAAGTCTTCACGGGGAGGTAACGTTGGTAACGTAGTATGAGACCTGTGGACAAAAGAAAAGTTTGTGTGAGTTAAAGCGCCGTTTAACCATTAATCGATCTATGTTTATACGTAAATAAAACAGTATGTTTATGCGTAATAAAAATCTTGTAAAGGGCAAGTCTCAGTTTCGCAATCCTCCGGGCCCCGCTTTCGCAAGCGCTCGCAGCGAGTTTTTAATTAGAGCTATCCGAGCATCGCGACCTCGTGGCCAGGATGCGGCTTCAATAAAACGCTTTTTTACAGGCACCAATTGAACGTGCTATAAAATTAAAACTAGCGCTTTTTACGACACATTTTAACGCTCTTCCGTGTGGCGTTCGTCTTGTCCATTGTTCGGGCGGGCGCGGTATCGTGCGGATCACCGACAAGGGCATGCATGGATTAAGCCATTAACAGCCACGATATCGATGTTAGCGCAGACAACATTGTGTGGAAATTGGGTGCTCACTGAACAACTAGGTCATGCCGTGACCGAAAACGCGATCTGCAAATACGATTAAAACGGGAGCTAAATACTCTTATTCCCTATATAGCTATGCGGTTCGAAAGCTGTAAGACACCTTGACCCGGAGTCGGTACCTACATATGTAGATATCTACAGTCATATCTGTCACGTAAAACAATAAAACACTGAGACGAAGTAACCTAGATGCAGACCGTTTTGCTTATTCCTCGCAATATGTGAGTTAAATTCCTCTACGACAGAAACATGGTTAGACGACGCTTAATAGATTGTCGTCTTCAAGGTTCAAGCAACTTATAGGTATTTTTGAGTGCCACTCCTCATATCTGCTTTATCTCACATTGATTTATTGGTCCTAAGTCTATTGTCATAATAATTTCACACTAGGTATGTGTTATACACGTAACATACTCGAAAACTCTTTTAATACAGCGATGTATATGGTTTAGGTAAATATTTATTAATCTCTACCTAAAAAAATATTCAAACTTAATGTAAGTAATATAAAAAGGCAAAGCGCTTTACGCAATGTTGATTTTCTTATTGGTAGCCGACCACAAGTTATTTGGTGAGTAAACGAAACATCTGCTCAAATATCTTGTGTTGGCACCGATTGTGTGACATTGAAAACGGTTAAATAATTAATTAGAGAAAGCTTATAAATGCACGCCAACTCTAATAAACTTGACTTCCTTATAATATAATTCAAATGCAAGAAAGGACTTTTATATACCATATAATAACAGTTGTTCTCGACGCGTGGGTCGATATAACCATATAATATGCTAATAACAGGCAGTAGGACGTCCGTACCCCTAAAAATGGAAAATGAAAAATAAAATGTATCCGGCCGATACCGCGTGGGTTTATATTAAGTTTCGACAAATTTATATATTTTTATCATACTTTTTATTGCACAAAAAAGTAGAAATTACGATGCATATTCGTTAAATTATACGATCGTTGTCCTCAAGAAATAGGGGAAAATAACTGAGCGTAATAACAGTGGCTTTTCTCGGTTGGCGCTCTTGTATCTCACTCATTCTAATGGAAATTCAATATGGATGAAGAGAGTAGAAGATATCTGTCTAAGCTTTAGCTCTTGAGGGAAAAGGGGTCGCCCTGTTTACTTCTAAAACGACGTAAAATACATTAAAATAGAGGTTGTGTCGACTTTTTGTCCTCGAGGCTGCGAGAAATAGGTAACCTACTTAGAGCCGCGCCCGCTCACTACAAACATACATATATTATGTCAATTTAATTGCATTAGTTTTATTACCGCTTAAGCAAGTAGTCTGTAAACGAGGCAGCTTTTAATAGAGGCAATTTAAATTAAAAATTATAAATTCTGTTTTCTCTCTTTAAAATCACTATGTAATTTGTTTAAGTTGTTGGCCGAATTAACTTTTTATTGCACAACTTGGAATAATAGTATTTACATATTATTCGAAAATCTTTTTATATTTTATTTTATTTTATTTATGAATAAATGGTAAAAGCCCTTGAGTATTAAATAAAATAATAAGTGGTCGTAAAATAATGAATGAACATAGCTTAATAGGGAAGCGAAGGTCATCGTGATACATGAGTGCGCATATGTACGAGTATGTTATTTAATAGTTTTCAATACTTAATAAGTTTAAACATAGTTGTTTGAATAAGTTATATAAATAATAAAACAAATAAATCGATATTCGTTCAATTATACTATACAATAAGGATATTAGATGGTCGTAAGTTGCAAGAAATAAACATAGTCTTTAGACTATGTTTTCAAGTAAATGGATATGAGTTAATAACAAATATAATCAAAATAACGTCAAATAATACTATTTAGAGCTATCAAATTATTGTTTTTTCAAGTAGAAATAGAACTTAAAGCTCTTAAACGCAACAGAACTAAGTAATATTGGGTTGTAAGTAAATGCACTAAGTTTTTTTATTTTTATTTTTTTCTTTCCACATTACATTATTACAATTTTTAAAATGATTACTCCAATACATTTATTTTTAATTATATAAAATTTTTATGGCATAAATACCTATTGCATCGTTCGTAAATTGTTAAAAAAATATTCTTTAAAACATTTATATTTTATGTTCATTATTAATTTTAATTATTTTACAATATTAATTCCAATAGTTGTAAAAACATAGATGTACCTATACAAAGTTGGGTTAAATAGACCTGATTGTATTTACAATTTACCCATGCAAATTCATTAGATTTATAAAAAAATAACATGAAATAACAAGTAATGATAACCACATAATATCTCTATTAATCCTCTATCTAAGGATAGGTATATACTATTTATAAAATATCGTTAATAAAGCATGTTCTGAAATACTGCCCTAATTGTAAATTCTTATTATTTCTATCAACTTCTAAAAGGAGGAGGTACGGCTAAATCTTTTTTCGTGTGTGTTTCGAAAGATTTTTTCATTTTTCTTATTTTAATGAATCAATTATACCTCCATGGTAGTTCCATATAAATTAAAAAAAGGAAATTCGACCGCTATGAGTGGAATTAAAACTTTTAAAAGATTTTAAAGCCAATGTACTTGTTAGTAAAAAGCAATTCAAGTATGAAAAAAGCTCGAAAAAGCTGAAGCAAAACATTAGTGTTTTACGTATTACGCGCTACGAATAACCGTAGACTCTACTTTACCTGAAACATATTTATATTTTATATTAATTACAATATTATATTCATTTATGCTTAGCTAAGATTGATTACTTGCTGGACCCAACCTTAACCATATCTAGCTCGCATCATTTATAATACGTGTCATAAAGAATGATACAAATAACAAAACAAAATAGCAAAGAAATATTGTTATTGGATCGACAATAGCAAAATAGAAAATTAAAAGTTCTTCTATAGTAGATTTGTAGGTATATAAAAATAGAGGACCCTTGAATATTAAGGTAGATAATGTTGGTTAATTAAAATGAATACAAAAAACGGCGCTATTATTAATTCATTGTAAAGTGGATCGTCATGGTGTTTTGGATATCGCAATTCAGTTCAATTAGTTTAATACTTATATTTTAATCTCTTTTTTTGCTTTATCAAGGTATGTTAAGCTAACAAAACCTAGTATTATATTATAATAAATTAAATAAAAAAATAATTAATCAGTAATACTTGTAATTTTATAGATAGAGGTCCTAAAGATTATTTTACAACTTTATGACTTATTTCCAAATTCAATTAGCTTCAAATAACTGTTTCATAATGTTTTAAAAACCGGTAACCATTGATAATAATACGAGTCATTAGAATATAGGTGGGCGAGTCAATAAAATTGTAAATTATATCTACGGCAATTATTAATTAAGGTGAATCTAACATACTTACTAATTATTCACGGTCAATTTCAAACGAACTGCCTTCTAATTTTTATAATGAAAGTTCGAATGATGTTTAAATTATTGAATCGCTCAATGAGTTTTTGTGTTTTTTCTCCTACAAAGGAGAAAGAAGACAAAAAATAGACATTTGGTCATTAATTTGCGACAAGTAATTGCCGATATATAAAATATTATTAAATATACAAAACATGTCTTGAAAGAGCTTTTGAGGTAAAACTCTATATTTCAAAAAGCATAAAACGAAGTAAAATACAAAAGAGTATATTGCTTATATAAATACATTTGCGATTGTTTTCGTGTTTAAGTTAAAACCAAAGATATTTTTAACTTGTATCCAAACGTAGCAACAGAACCGTGTCCTTGACACTCGACAGCGGGCAAAAAGTATCGGCCGCAATTTCGGCGTCGAGTGTGCGACTTCCAACACACACTACCACATTCATAAGAGTTCATATTAATGACAAGGGAAATTATTTAAGAGCTTAATTATTAAATATCATAACAAAATAATATACGATTTCTATTTAAAACATAATTTATACAGCATGTCCTTGAAAAGCTAAAACAACAAATATTTCGTGTATGATTTCGGCGTCGTGGGTGTGTCCTGACTTTGAGCTAACGAACACACACAAATGTTATAGAATAATCGTAGCAGATGCTTCAATGTTGTAGAATGCTATGCCTCACAGAGACTATGAAATATGATCATGTTTTATTCATGTATAGGTATTACATATTTGCTAATAAAATTAAATCAAATTTGTAATATACATATGTATATTGAATGTTATGAAGAAATAAATTCATTAATGTTATCTATATGATCTCTTCGATAATAGTTTACTAATATGCCAATCATATACATACTAAATTTTGATTTAAATAGTTCTAATATTATATGACTTATGGCTTATAACGACTTTACGACGACTTAATGTTTAAATAGGTCTAGCATATTTATTTTCATAGGTATTTACAGTAAAAAATGACGATATACATACACATATATTAACTCGTGTGGTAAATATATAAATGATAAAGAATAACAACAAGAAATTTTAGTAATGTTAGCAATAATTTAAAAATAATAATTGTATTTACCTGCCACATCTGCTTTTTATTCTATTCCATTAGCATATAATTTAGTGCCGGTTTT